CTGGCTTTTGAATGACACCCCCAGCCCTATCCCAGGCGTGCCCCACAGTGCCCAGAGACTCTTGCTGGTAAGACATTCATTCTCTGGAGCATCCCAGGGTCCTGAAGAGATGGAAATCTTTTGGAAAACAAGCACTGGGTGATGAGTGTGTTTAGTGGTGACAACCAGGAGCAGGCAGATGGCCAAAGTCCAACCCCTTCCCCTGACAGTGCCCTGTGGCTGCTCTGAGGCTTCCTGCACCCTGAGGCTGTGCGCAGGGAGGTGCTGTCTGCAGGTCCCACTGGTCCTGCCAAGGCTGGGTGATGGCGGGAGCCTCCGTCCATCCATGTCGGGGTCCCAGGTGCTTCAGTAGACAGGGACAAGCTGGAAGTCTCTAGGAAAGGGAATACAGATGCCTGAGGGGCCTGGTAACGATTAAGGACTCACCAAGAGATCGGGGCCATCAGGTTGATGGGTTGGTACAGAGGACTCCAGGGAGTCAGCCACCACTGACAGCCTAAGGGGAATGTACCTTGAAACCCAGGTGGGCCGCCGTGGGCCGCTCTGTCTGGAAGGGCTGCAGGTCCCAGGGCAGGAAGTGCTCCAGGAATGTGGCATGGAGGACACCCGCCTATGGGTGGGGGCTGGATGCTGCACAGGTCCCTTTCAACTCTGGGAGCCTATGAGGGGCCCACAAAAGAGAGGGGGTCTCCTCAATTGTCATCATCTAACACCTGGGAAGCAGGTGTGGAGGGAAGAGATGACAGCCTGCCACCATCTGGGTCTGCCATGGAGCCTGAGGGGTCCCCTGGGAGCCCCTGCACATGTGGAGGGTGAGAGCTGCAGATGGGGGCACCCTCTCAGGAGCCCAGGTTGAAGGTATTGTGCTTGGACCAGCCCAGCTGTCACCCTGGGGGTTCTGAGCACGAACAGTGAGGGCGGCTTGTGGTCCTGAGAAGGAACCCGGAGTGCCGGGTGTCTGCCCGGGGCTTTGTGAGGCTCCCCCCTGGGCCCAGAGTCTTTTTCTTTGGGGTTCAGGTGTCTGGCCCTGGGCACATGTGGACAGGTGACTGTGTGCACAGGTTCCACAGGACACGTATGAGGATGTGGTTCTCTGTCTCCATGAAATAGAAGATTTGCTCCCATTAAGTCTGTGTGTGCACACGTGTGTGTATGTGTGTGTGTGTGCACACACATCTGTAGCTAGAGGAGACCCCTTGGTGTACAAGGGACTAAGATGGGACTTAGAATTGGGAGAACTGCACTTGGGTCCCAGCTCTCTGCTTCCAGCTATGGTCTTGGGCACATCTCCGTCACTCGGGGCCTCAGTTTCCCACTGCAGCCAGCTGTTGTCACAATGTTGACAGATTAAATGAGAAAACGGAGCTGAAAGGGCTCCTGGGCAGAGCTGGTTTGTTTGCACACGTCTGTGCGCGGTTTATTCATTCTATAAACGTGGGGGCCTCCCCAGCCCGGGGACACAGTAGGGAACCCGGCTGGCGTGGGGCCTCTCTGGTGGAACTCGGGGCGGTGACAGATGGCAAGCTTGGTCCTGTGATTATTCCATCACACTTGGGGTAGAGAAAATCCGAGATGCTCTGAGTCCATGCACGTGTGTGGAGGGTAGACTCTGGCCCACACGTGTGTGCCACACGCAGTCCTCTGGAGCAGCTGTGTGGGTGTGTGGCAAGGCGGCTGCTGCCCCATGTCTTTGTGTCAAAGGACAGGGTGGAGGGAGAGTGACAAAATGACTTTCAGTTGTTCTAGAGCGGCCGGGCCGGCGCTGCAGCAGCCAACAGTGTGTGGATGAGGTCAGCGCTTAAGATAGAAAATCATCGAAACCCAGCTGTGTGTTTGGGAAAAAAAAAAGAAAGAAAGAAAAATAGGTGAACTTCCTGCTGCAGGTCGGCCGTTTCTCTGTTGGTCTGTTGTTGTTGTTGAACGTGTCACTGGTGTGATGTCATGTCTTAGGAGTCCTGTGATCTGTGGATCACTCGGGTATTTCTGAGCTGATTTGGACTTTGCTCTGAAATCCACTCCCCGCCAAGGCAATAAACATGTTTACAAGAGCAGAGGGTGTGCTGCTGTCTCAGGGTTACAGGTCTGGGCCAGGGTGGCCTTCCCCCACCATCAGGCCGAACATGAGCCCCTTGGACACAGAAGAGAGGTCTCAGAGGAGGAGCAAGGAGAGACCTGAGCTGAGCTTGGTCACAGTCACCTGGGGAGAAGGAAGTGGATGTGAAACCCTCCTTGAGGGAGGATGAGGAAGGGGAAGAAGTCACTGGGTCTGCATCAAGGAGGCCTTGGGAGATCCCGGGACACCTTGTCACCAGGGAACTTGCGTAGCTCGGGCTGTGGGCGATCCCCCTGCGTCTGGGGCTGCAGAAGCTCCTGCTGGGCTCTTTCTTCATCTTCTCTCACCTCCCTCTGAGTTTAGGACATTAGGGAGCAGTAGCCGAATTAAGGCGGTTTTCTTGAAAAAACATCAAGAAGGAAAACCGTTTGCGGGTGGAATTTTATTGATGCTCAGATTAGAAGTAGCATCATGTGCTCTGAAGGAGGTGGGAGGATTCTGCCCTCACCAGCAATGGTGAAAAACGTCTCCATGGTGATGACAGCCTTTTCAAAGAGCACTGCGCCTCTCCTCCCCTGAGCGGGGTAAGGATGCTCTGGCCCCCTGTGGGATGGGCCCCCTTGAGCCAAGTTAGCACAGGGAAAAGAGGGGCTGAGCCGAGCACGGACGTCCCGTGTGTTTGGCTGGTTTTATAATCTCATTATTGAACCGCTCCTCAGCCAACCCTGTGCAATTTGCCCTGATTATAGGAACATGGAGAAAAAGCAGAGAGAACCTGACACTCTTTAGTAAATATTCCTGACTTCAGCTTATTTGAACTTAAAATCAAATGGCTCTTCAAACGAAACTTACTTTCTTTTAAGACCATGTATTACCAAAGAGGATGGACAGGAGGGGACAGAGCATGGCCTTCTGCAGTGCTTGTCTCCCCAGTATCACCTACTGGAAGAGCAGAACATTCTCTTTGAGGCCTTATGCTGCACCCTGACCAGGATTGTATCCCTAGCTCCAAGCAAATTCCCAGTGCATTGTGGGTGCTCAGGACATGTTTGCTGAAAGAAATAAATGGGAACACCTGAACTGTATTATGGAGGAATAGAAGGAAGCCAGCCTCTAAGGTGTTCAAGAACATTAATCAATTTCCATGTAAGGCAGAGGCCTGTGTTGCTAAAGGCTTGCATGGAGCCCAGATGTTCAGATGTTCCTTTTTCAAATTTTATTTATTTATTTTTAGTTGTTAATGGACCTTTATTTTATTCACTTACTTATATGTGGTGCTGCGAATTGAACCCAGTGCCTCACACATGTGAGGCAAGCGCTCTACCACTGAGCCACAACCCCAGCCCCCAGATGTTCCTTTTAAGGAACATTAAACAACCAATACAGCCTTCCAAATTGCCTGCCTCCTCCCCTGGCCTGAGTTCTTATTTTTCTCCAAGGTCATCCACTTTTTTGTTGGTTGGGTGGGCGGGTACAGGGATTGAATTTAGGGGCACTAACCACTTAGCCACATCTCAGCCCTGTTTTGTATTTTATTTAGAGACAGGTTCTCACTGAGTTGTTTAGGGCCTCTCTTTTGCTGAGGCTGGCTCTGAACTTGCAGTCCTCCTGCCTCAGACTCCCAAGCCGCTGGGATTACACGTGGTCACCCACTTTTGTTGGCCAGCGATGTTGGGATACCCAGTGGCCTCTGACTGCGGCATTCTGGGGCTGAAGCAACGTCTAATCCTTGCTCCTCAGACAGGGGCTGGAAGGAGGGAAGCCACCCTGAATGTCACTGTCACCTTCCCGTGCAGATGAAATCAAAGTTGTAGAAGCCTGTTTTTGCTCCTGTGCTTGCTGGACACGTACATAGAAGGCATTTTAGAGTAAATGAATCAGTTGGTCAAGGCAGGGGATGTGGCATAAATGCACGGGCATCCCTGGCAGCTTAGGTTCGGGACTCAGAACCGTATCTTATTTTTCTTTTTACTTCACCAAAGGGCAAAAAGAGTTCCGAGCAAGTTTGGAAAAATTGGGAAGCCCCAGGAATTTCATATTAAAGACACCTAAATGAAGTGCAGTGTGCTCAGCCCACCCTGCTCAGGGTGCTTCCAGGAAGAGGGGTCTCTCTTCTTTCCAGTGGCAGCTGCTTTGTCCCAGGGTGGAAGGAGGCCCCTTGGGGGCAGGGGAGGGACATGTTCGGACCTGTTTCTAAAGCCCTGTTGGCTGCAGAGGGCAAGTGGCTGAGAGGACAGTCCAGAGGTGGAAGCTACCGTCCAGGTCAGCACAGATGGGGGGCTGGACAGATGTGCTTTGAAAGTGAGGCCTACAGGCTTTGCTGATGAGCCCAATGTGGGAATGAGAGAGAGAGAGAGAGAGAGAGAGAGAGAGAGAGAGAGAGAGCGCAATCAGGGACAATTTCACATTTTGGGCCTGAGCAGTTGGAAGCACAGAGATACCATTGACTGAGCTGTTCCGGGAGATAATCCTGACAGCAGGCGGCAAGTCTGGGGCATGTTTCAGATGAGGACATGAGTCAGCCGTGGCACGAGGCACACGTGAGCTGCCTAAGCAGCCGGTCTTGGCCGGACTCCAGCGGCATTTGTTCCCTGTTGCTGCTGTAACAAAATTCCACTAACCCAGTGGCTTTGGGACAACCTGGATTGTCTGCAGAGTCCAAATCCGGAGTCTAAAGTCAGTGGACTGAATGAAGGCGAGGGTGGGGCCCTGTCCTCCGGGGAGGCCCTCCAGGTGCCCCTGACCAGCCATGAGGTCTGGTTGTGTCTTTCTCCTAGAGGTTGTTGAGGACTTTAAGCAGGACAGCAGCTTTGGGAAAGTGTCACCTGGAGGGGCTGACACGGGCCACAGGAGCGGCAGGTTGCGTGGGTCTGTCAGCACTGTTAGCTGACCTTGCCATCTCCCTCTGGCCTTTCCTAAAGGGACTATTTGTTTTGGTTGTAGCCCGATGGAGACCCCAAGGGGACCACAGAAGCCCTTGGCATGTAGGAGAGCCCAGTCTCTGGACAGGCCTCAGGCGCCCAGGAAGGACTCTGGGTCGGGTCAGTGCAACTGCCGGTGCCTCTCCTTTTCCACCACTCCCTGCCGGAGGCCCCTTCGCCGCACGTCCAGCGACAGGGCCAGATACTCTGGGATCCCAGCTCAGTCTGCAGAGGCCCAGGGCACCGTCACCATAGCCCTCACCCTGGAGGAGATGAGGGGGCTTCACCCCAGTGAGCAGAGGCCCCAGCAAGACGCCAAGAAGGACAAGGCCCAGAGGCGGGCCCAGCAGGGGTGGCTGAAGGCCGTGCTGAACTTCTTCCTGAGGACAGGCCCAGAGGAGCCCAGAGAAAAGGCCAGCAAGAGGCCCAAGGGGAAGGAGGAGTCCACAGAACCCCCGGACGGCCCAGGAGAGCCGGCCCTCAGGACGAGAGCCCGCGACAAGAAAGCCAGTCGCAAGAAACACAGTCACAGGAAGCACGATGCTGAGGACCCGGAGGCAGGGCTGCCCAGGACAGAGGCTGCCTCCGCAGAGGAGGCTGACCTGGGCCCAGCTGGCAAGGGTGAGCGGACGCCTCTTCCTAGTGACCCCTGCTCCACCCCAGGGTGCTCTCAGCTCCGTGGCTGAGGACCTGAGGTCAAATCCCTGGAGGGGCTTCTGTTTCCCCACCGGGTGGCCTGGGGTTGGTGACTCTCCCCTCTGAGCCTCCCTTTTTTTTTAATCCACAAAATGGAGATAAAATATACTATCTCACGGAGCAGCCGTGACCCCTGTGAAAGTGCTCAGTGAGCGGAGTCATTATTAAGCACTATTGAGTTTGAGGATCACAGATGAGGACAAATGGGAAGGTGGGGGCGGGGAGCATGTCTCTCCCCCCTGGTCCCTATCTGGCCACCAGGGTGCTCCTTCTAGACTTTGGTTCTTGGATGGGCTTGAGCCAGTGGCCGTCCCCTCCAGAGCCTTTTCTTCCTTTTGTGTGAAATTAGAGTTCTGGTCTCTGAGGTGACTTCCTAGCCCGACTCCTAGGACGCTGGGGTTGAATGTCACCCATACCTGGAGGGAAATGGTGCTTTGCCTTTTTTTTTTTTAATGGGGAGAAGAGCCTCCAGGGAGATCCCCAATTACCCGATTAGAGGGGGACAATTGAGAGGGACGCCTGGGTGGAGGTGGCCTCTTGGCAGATTTCAGATTCTTGGGTTAAGCTCCCAGATGGCAGCCACAGGGCCTCCTGTGCAGCCAATTCTGTGCTGTTTTCTCAAATGGATTCAGAAAGTCACAGGAACGTCACCCACGTGTCCACTCCCACGCTCACGCCCACCGGCTTTCATCTCTATTCCAGGCGGACACGATTCTTATCTGCACCCGTCCTTGCCCATCGAAGTGGGTGGTGCCGGCTTCTCAGACGTTTCTCCCCAAGCCGCGGGTCCCCAGCCAGAAGAGCACCTCAGGAAGCTCGACCGTGAGTCCATCAATAGTGTCCTTTCGGTCTGTGGTCAGGGTGGCTGTCACCAAGTGAGGTGGAAGGCTCTGCGTGGTCACTGAGACCTCGGATCTCAGTGGCTGATTTCTCTTGCTTCTTCTGCGGCTTCTGGCCACATTTGCTTATTTTAAGAGTCTCACAGAAGGGAGCCTGGGGATTTGGAAAGGCTGTTGGCAGAAGCTCCTGCCTTATGTGTTAACGAGTGTGGGACTTTGTTTTTAGTCTCTCAAAGTTTATTTTATTTTAAAAATATATAGAACAGTAGGGACCGGGGGTGCAGCTGGGTGGCAGAGACCTCGCCTTGCATGCAAGGGGCCCTGGGTTCAGTTCCCAGCACCCCACACAAAAATAAAAACGAACTAAATAGAGAAATAAATAAATTAAATTAAAATATATTGAAGCGTGGTGAGAACATTTCAATGCACGCTTGTATTCCCACAGTTGTCTGGCTGTGGGCTTCGGAGGTGTAGGTATGTATGATTTTGTTGTGGAACCATTTTAGAACAAAATGATCCTTCATCTCTAAAGACTTAAACCCGCATCGCTAAGAAATAAGGGTGGTGTCCTAGGCACCTACAATATCATTATTGCTTCTTATAAATCAAAAATGACCCCCTGTTCATCTAATTCCCTGTTAAAAATGGCCATATTTTAAAAAGCTAGAAAATGGAGCCAAGTCTGTGCTGTTTTCTCAAATGGATTAAGAAAGTCACAGGAACAGTCACCCACGTGTCATCTGTCAAAGAATAGCTAGCAGACATTGAGCTAGTTATTGTGTAGGGTATTTAGTTATTTCACAGCTAATTATTTTCTCACTCTGGAGGGAATCAGCTGATTGATTGAGGAAATGAACTAGAAGCCAAATGGGATTCATGAGTGAGAGGGAAGTGACTGAGGGGTGAGAGAGATCCGCAGGTGGCCCAGGGGGCCTGTTTCCATCTCCTGTGTAAACCCCTCTGCTGGCAGCCAGCAGAGGACAGTCTGGGAACACTGCCCTTGAACAAGGTCACCAAAGGAAATAATTTCCATCGTTTGTGGCTCCTCCTTAATGATTTGGGCCTTGGGCCAAGAGCTAGACACAGTGGCGCACGCACACCTGCAATCCTAGCGGCTCTGGAGGCTGAGGCAGGAGGATTGCAAGTTCAAGGCCAGCCTCAGCAATTCACTGAGACCCTGGCTCAAAATAAAAAATAACATAAAAAGGCTGGGGATGAGGCTCAGTGGTTAAGCGCCCCTGGGTTCCATCCCTGGTACCAAGGAAGGAAGGAAGGAAGGAAGGAAGGAAGAGGGGGCTGAGATATAGTGGAGGCATCCATAGGTCTGTGCTACACATCCTGATGTCCTTCTTTTCTTCTCCTTAGTTAGAATAGGGAATTATCATTTTCCCCACTTGAATTTTCCAGGGTGGAGGAAGGTCAGTATTAGGCTTGCAAAGTGTTTCCAAGCCCTGCCCCTCATTGGATGGCCTCTAACGGAGGCAGAACCGGGATTATGTCAACATTACACAAGGAAAGAGAAGAAGGCCCAGGGAGGGTAAGAGACTTAGCCAAGGTCACACAGCTCGCTGAACCCAAAGTAGATGTTCACAGATTTGTTAGTAGGGCATAAGTGGAATGCCTGGAAGGCTGACTTGAAATTTCCTGCATATAATATCATGCTTTGGGGCAGAATCCTTCCCTTGGGGATCCTCCCACTCTCACTCAGGACAGCTCCTGGAATGTGGTGCTTTTCCCCTTCCAACCTGAGGAGCTGTTTTGAGAGGCCCCTCCCCTGATCCAGAAGGCCCGAGCTGGTCTCATGTCCAAGAGGGTCGTGGAAAGTGCTCTTTGTGCATTTGGAGAAGGTGACAGGGCATGTGCTCTCTTCCAGAAGATGCTGTCATCCAGAGGATCGTGGAATTGCTCAAAAAAGTGGGAGACCAGTGGGAGGAGGAGGTGAGGGGCGAGCATCTGCTTCTCCTGGTTCCAGCCCCACCTGTTCCCGTCTGCCCTTGCGCTGTCTGAAGCCTCCATCTGCTTCTCCGGCTCAGCGCTCCCCCTGGCCCCCCCACAGTGCTTGGCTGCTCCCCAGTTTTCCTGGGAAGCTCTCCTTCTCTTGGTACTTAGGGGCCTGACTCAGTTTCTGTTTTCTTTCCAGCAGCAACTTCAAGTCCCTCAGCCAGAGGTGGTTCCTCAAAACCCCTCCCCGATCTGCAAGAGGAAGTCCCAGGAAAGAAAGTCCAGCCTCAAGAGAGCCTTTTCTCTTAAGAAGTACGGCCCCGGACCCGAGGAGTCCAGGAGAGCAGGGGCTGCTGATGTCCCCAGTGCAGAGGCCCGGCCACCCAAGAAGTCCAGCTTTCTGCCCATGTGTGTCGTCGGTAGCCACCGGTCCTCCGTCTCCAGCAGCCCTGGTGAGCAGACTCTGGCAGTTGCCATAGCAACCCTGCAGCTGCCTCTGCCTCTGGAACCTTCCCAGGGCTGGGATTGGCTGCTGGAGGGCCGCGGTCTTTCCTGAGCAGTGTGGGACGGGCTGCAGAGGACAGGAGGAACCCCAGCAGGCCACCGCTCCTCTCTCAGGTCCGGAGCCCACTCAGCCCTCCAGGGCACTGTGTTGGAGGACCCGCCATTCACGCCTCTGCAGCCTCCGCCTCCTCCTGCTGGGGGGGGGGGGAGGCGCAGGATGTTCAGGAAGGGGCTGGAGCAGGGAGGCAGGGCGCCTGAGCAGTGCTTTCCGTGTCCTCCCATGTCTCTGTCCTCACAGCCATCTTAGGAATTGAGGTTATTGTCCCCATCTTACAGATGACAGAATGGGGCTTAGGGAGGCAAGGTCATGTTCAAGGTCACCTGACTCATTAGCGGTGGAGTCAGAGCTAGCAGGAGAAAGGATCAGACAGATTGGTCCTTCCTGGGGGTCGGAGAGGACCAGCCTCATAGGGGGTGCTGGACCAGGGGATTACTGCCCAGAGAGGAACGGGTGGTGCTCAACACCAAGGAGTGGTCCAGAGGTGGGCACCAGGCCCCCGGGGAGGGAGCTTTAGGCAGAGTGATTCTGACTGTGATCCTTGATTCATGCCACAGAATTAGGCCCCTTCTCTCTGGGGATCAAGTGAACACTGTGGAGGGGTGGAGCCCAGGGAGGGAGGCAGGGCCTCCAAACCAGGAAGGCCCGCTCTCTGAAGGCACAAAGGCTTGGAGCTTGGTCTGGGCCAGTAACCCTGGGACACAGCCCAGCGCCCAGCTCACCTGAGTGGCAGCAGGGCTTCAGGGCCAGCTGCCAAGGCGCCACCTCAGAGTCAGGGCCAGGTCCTGGCCTCTCCAATCCCTGAGACCCAACAACACCCCGACCATTCCGTTCTGCTTCCCAGGCTTGGAAGAACCCGAGGTCCACGAGGCCCTGTCTGCAGATGGGGAGGGCCCAAGTCCCTCTGAACCGCCCACCCACGCCAGATGCCAGGGACCCGTAGAGGAGCTGCTGCTGGACGGGGCCTCAGAGTCCAGTCAGTATCCTGCCCCTTTCCACAGAGACCCCTCGGGAAAATGCTGGTCTGACTCTTTCACTTGCAGAAGAGTAACTGAGGCAGAGAGAGGCAGTGTCCTGCCCAGACTTCCCATGAGAGCCGCCTCGGGGCCCAGGGCCCAGGCCTGGACCAGGCTCCTGTTACGTGCTCTCTTAAGCATCCCAACCATCCACAGCTGCAGTGAGGACACGCATGTGGCCGAGGCAGCCAGTGGGCGATGGAGGAAAGCGCTGCCCGTGGCAAGGGCTCCACAGATGGTGTGAGCTTTAGGCCCCGCTTTCAACCTGAGTTCTGACCCCTTCCAGTTCTATGAACGTGGACAGATTGCTTCATCTCTGACTCAGTTTTCTCATCTGTGAGATGGGCTGATCACAGAATCTTCTTCCTGGGGTTTCTAGTAGTTCTAAATGAATTCAGGCCTACGAGGCCTTCAGGGCAGCCCCTGCTCACAGCCAATTCATGTCAGCGGGGTCCGTTGTTATTAGGTGGGCCAGCTTGGGAACAGAAAAGGATAGGGAGAGGGTGGGGGGGGGGCGCTGTTGTGACTTTACTGTTGGCAGCCAGGCCTGGGCTTGTATCATGGTCAGTTCTGAGCAGCTGAAGATGCTGAAAATACCTTTAGGATCTCTACTTTTGCTGCCCAGCCTGCCCGGAAGGGAATTGGGAAGGCCCGGCTCTTCCGAGATGAGGGGGTGCAGGGTGAGGGGTGTGGGGAGCAGGCCCAGGTGCCTTCTCAAGAGTCCAGAGGCCCTGGTTGGTGAAGGAGAAGGGAACTTGTTCCCAGGAAGCCTGCTCTGCCTTCTGAGGAAGAGGTTCACCAAGAGGTTCACCCAGGGAGCCCTGGGGTGGACGACATGGAGGCTGAGCTCAGAAGACTTCTCTAAGCACTTTGGTCTTTTTTTTTAGACAAATTCATCCAGAAGATCCTTGCCCTACTCCAAGATGCCGAGGAGCAGGAGGGAGAGCAGGTGAGGACCCCACGCTGCCCCTCCGGCTCCTTTCAGCCCCCTGCCGGCTCCAGACCACCCTCACTGCTCTTCTCGGGGTCCCCCTTTCCAGCCCAAGGGTCTCTTTCCCCAGCTCACCTGCAGTCTCCTCAGGTCAAGGCCCCACTCACTTTCCCTCCCCTCCCCCACAGCAACCCCAAGTGCAGGAGGTGGAGGTGGCTGAGAACCCGGCCCCAGTCTGCAGGAAGAAATCCCAGGAGAAAAAGTCCAGCCTCCGGAGAGCCTTTTCCCACAAGAAGCACAGCTCCAAGGAGCCCAGGAGGGCAGGGACCGCCCCAGAGGCCGGGACACCCAAGAGGCCCAGCTACCTGCCCTTGTGTGTGGGTGGCCACCGGTCCTCCATCTCCAGCAGCTCGGGTGAGCAGGCCTGGCGTTGCCATAGTAACAGAGGCTTCCTGGAGGGCAGGGGTGGCCTCTGTGTGGCCACGGCCATCTTGCCTTCTGCTCTCTGCTCTGGGCAGAAGAGGGGTGTGGGGTGCAGAGGAGTGAGGACCACTGGTAGGTAGACAGGGGTTCCTTGGCATTTATGGAGTGCCTACTGTATGTTACTGTCATGCATATCTCATGTAACCTGCTCACAGCCCAGGGGGGGGTCCGGCTTAGGACCCCCATTTGACAGATGGAGAAAGTGCAGTTTGGACAGAAACCCGGGCTTCTTTCCTCAATTGCTTCATTCCAGATCGTGGGGAGGCCGAGGGCTTGGTGTGTGGAAGGAGTTAGTTCTCTGGAGAGAGCAAAGGGAGCTCTGTGAACTCCTCCTCGCAGGGCGGGGTGGTCGGGGGACTTCCTGAGGACCCGGGGAGCAGGGCCCAATGACCATAGCTTCTGGCGGGCCTGGATGCAGCTCTGTGTTGGGGGATCTGATTTGGGTGCAAAACACTCACCCCGATTCTTTTGCCCTTAGATCCAGAGCATCCCGAGTTCCAGGAGCCTTTGGCTGCCGAAGGGGGAGCATCTGGGTTCCCAGCAGCGTCCTCCCAGACCAGAAGCCACACGCCAGAAGGAGGATCCCCGCCGGAGGACACGTGTGAATCTAGTTAGTGCCACCTGCTCTCAGCTGGGCCGGCTTCCTGGGTGCTTCTCCTCTGCATGGACTCACAGGCTGAATAGGGAGCAGTTCCCAGGAGGGAGCAGAGGGGCAGCTGGGAACCACCCAGGAGACCCCGGAGCAGGGCAAGGGCAGGGCTCAGGTGGAGAGCACTAGGCTGTTCTGCGAGCTGGAACTTGACCTCCTCACGTGGTCACGTGAAGTCCTAGCTTGCCCTGGTCTCCGGGGGTGATATCCTGGCAATCAGGCTCTCCACGGGGGGGGGGGGAAGCCCCGATTTGTGGCCTTTGTAGATTTGGGTTGTATCAATAATCCCCGTGGCCAATTTCCAGCTGCCAACCGTTTGCAATGACTGCTCCATCAGTTTCTGCACAGTTACAGTGACCTCCGTGTGAGGCGCCCAGGCAACCACGCCACTAACCTGGGTGGGTGGGGGCGTCCCTGCTGCCACAGGAACCATGGTGTGTCCCCTGCTTGCATTCTGATCAGCTACTTTTATTTTTCTTTATTTATTTGTTTTTGGCACCAGGGATCGGACCCAGGGGACACTTAACCACTGAGCCACATCCCCAGCTCCTTTTTTTTTTTTTTAAATTTAAGTCAGTGTCTCTCTGAGTTGCTTAGGGCCTTGCTCAGTTGCTGAGGCTGCCCTTGAACTTGCAATCCTCCAGCCCCCTGAGAGGGGACTACAGGCATGTGTCACTGTGCCCTGCTGATTAGCTGCTGCTTTTAGTCCAAGCTTCCAATCCTGACATTGGGAGGCCTCGGTTTTCCCATCTGTCAAATGGAGCTGGATGTGGTGACAGGGGAGGCAGCACAGGTCAGAGGCCCTTCTATTTCTCTGGAGCAGATAAAGCTCCTTCACGCCAGTGCTGGTTTAAGGAAAGACTTTCTTTGCCTGTCATAACTCATCTGTGTGCCACGTTTTAAGATAATGTACTATTTATATTGGGGGACAGTTGCTGCAGCGTTTGATTGTGGGGACCGGGGTGTCAGCCCACATGCAGTTCCTCACCGTCCCTTCCTTTCCCTAGAGGAGGGCATCATCTGCACACTAGTGGAGCTGCTCCAGGAAGTGGATGGCGAGCTGGGGGACCAGGTGAGCACCCCTCAGCCCTCCCCAGGTCTCATCTACCCACTCTGGGACCCGGGTTGAGTCCCCATCTCTGGGTGATCTTAGACATGTCTCTTTACCTCTCTGAGCCTCAGTGTCCTCTTTTGTAAAATGGGGGATAATTATCTACTTGACCAAGTTTATTGCCTACAGAGAAAATGCCAGAATGCAGGAGGTGAGGCAGTGTCTGTTTAAAATATCACAGTGCTCAGTGGCTCCTCCCCCACCAGCTAAGACCTTCCTAGTTCAGATCTTCAGCCCTCGTCCCATCACCCTGCAGGCCTCCTTGTGCCCATGTCCCTCCGGCCCCTGGGACCTCCTCTTCTACAAAGTCCCACCCCGTCCCAGGTCTCATTCCCCATCAGTGTATCCTGGGATCACCTAACAAATCAGCTCTCTGTACCCAAGTCCTTGTCTCTGGTCAGCTTGGGGGGAACCCCAGCTCCCATATATCAGCATGAAGAAGTAACTGGCTCAAGGAGCCTTGAGGTGGTGCTGGGACTCACCTAACATCCCTGCACTAGACGTTTTACAGACAAGGTCTCCATCCTCCCACGGATCCTGGGGGTCAGGGATATTACTCTCATTTTACAGATGACCCCACTGGCTCAGGAGGTCACAACTAATCGGTCAATTCTGTGTCCAGAGACCTGTGGACAGGTCTGGATGTGGGGCAGCAGGGGAGGCGGGGGAACTTAACTGAGGGGAGCTCACCAGGGCCACGAAGGGCCCACCCTGGCTACGGGGCTGGGGACGGTCCCTGCGGGCAGCACTAATGGCCTGATTTCATTTCTGCTTCCAGATTGGGCGGCACCCCAGCTTTAAGAGGTTTTTTTACAAGTTCTCGGACTCCACCCTCAGGAAGCTGGTGGCCACCCTGCGCAGACGGAAGACTCACTCGCCCGGTGGGGCCAGGAGCCTCGCCCAGAGACCCTCCCCATATGTCTTTGGCTTGGTCCACAAATTCGCTGGCAGCCACAGCCGCACCATCTGCAGCCTCATGGGTTCCCGAGGCCACTGCGTCCAGCACAACTTCACCCAGTTCCCGTCCAGGGAGGCCCAGCCGGTGAGAGAGGGTGGGGAGACAATGACAAATAGGACAAGGGACGACAGGGCGTGGGCCTCAGGTGGGATCTTCCTGCTCTCTTCTCCCTTGTGTACTCTGTTCAGAACTTGCAGGATTCAGATCCAATGTCACCTCCTCACTGAGGCAGTTCTAAAACACGACTCCCTGCCAAAAAAAAAAAAAAAAAAATCACTGATTTTGCTCCATAATCAGTATGGTCTTTATTCAGCACTGGGCTCCAACTGTAGGTGCCTTTGCACATGTTTTAATTAATGACGTCTGCTCCCTTAGCTGGTCTTATTATTTCGTAGGTTCTGCTGCTTGGCTTCCCAGTTCTAGGGTTATAAAATTTAAATAACAAAAAGGGAGGTTCAATTTCAGATAAGGGTGCCTGAGGTAGACCAGAAGGCTCTGAGGGCTGCTCAGGGCTCAGGAGTGCAGGTGTTTGAGGGAAGAGTGGCTTCACCCTCTGGTGGCCTCTGATCAGCAGATCTCCCGTCCCCTTTTCCAAGGTCCTTCAGATTGCCCGCTTATTGTCACTCCACCCAGACTGAGTGACAGTAGAAGCTACTGAGCGAAGGTGTGATTTTGGAAAAAGCAGATGTTGTCTTTGTTGGTCTTGGACAAACCGGCCCAGAACTGCTAGCTGGAGGTCCCTTGGGAAAGCAGACCTTTTTGCAGTGATGTCACCGTCACTCAAAATGCATCTGTCATCGGTCATCCTCTCTTGGAGTTGCCTTTAGAAGCCCCTGGAGAGGGCCCTCTAGAGGGCCAGTCTTACCAACGCTCTGCTCCATGTGGCTGACTTTCCTGGTGGTGACTCCTTGTGACCTTAGACCTCTCTTCTCAGCCTCACTGTCTTCTCTGGAGGATGGGAGTGGGATGTTCTGGAGAATTTGCTCTCTAGGGTGGGCTAGGCAATGGCTCATACAGAATGATCTCAGTTCTTTGTCAAAGATACTGTGGGAAGATGGGTTCTGACATCCTCAGTAGCCCTAAACCCGTCCTCTGGTTTCACTCACTGTTCATTCATTCATCCTTCATCCAACCGGCAAGTATTAAACTCAATCAGCAGATGTTGACAGGGACCTGTGTGCTTCGCTGTGCTAAGGGCTGCGAGGTGCTCGGGAAGGTTCTGCCTTTCAAGGACTTCACATGCTCCTGGAAAAGAAAATGTTGACTGATGACGACATTAAGTAGCAATCAGAAGCCAGAGTGTCAATGAAGCCAGTTGGTCCTGGGAGGCTTCCTGAGAGTCGAGGCTGGGGAAACTGTAGTGAGAGGGAGGATAGGTCAGCTCTGGAGGCAGGAGGGGCTACAGGAGCGAGGACCCAGAGGTGGAGCTCTTGCTGGGTGTTGGTGGACAGCAGGTGGTTTACTGTTTGCAGAGAGGGGCCGACACAACATTGAGGTATGGCTAAAACTTCTGTCCTTCTTCTCTTCCCAGAACATGCCAAGTCCTGAGTGTCAAAGTCCAGATTGAAAGCTGTGCCTTATGCTCAAATTCCCTCGAACTAACAAAATGATTGGCAGCTTCCACTGGAGGCCCTGAGATGCTCCGTGACGCCCTGATCTATGCTTTACCAGCAGGCCCGAGACAGCAGCCGACGACACTGTGCACCATGCACTCTTGTCTGAGAATGTACCGAGCCTTCATCCACAGAGCTGGAGGTGGGGGCTGTATCAGGGAATCAGCCCTGAGGGGGGGGTCAGGAGGCCTGGGCTCCGCCTGCCAAACCTTCCCCCGACCTGGCAAGGCCCTGTGTGCACCATGGATCTAGTTACCAAGAAGGAGGTCTACTGACGTTTCCCCAGATATTAGTTTTAGCCTTTTCTTTTTTTTTTTTTTTTGGTACCAGGGATTGAACCCAGGGGCACTTAAGCCACTGAGCCACATCCCCACTCTTTCTTTATCCTTTGTTTTTGAGACGGGGTTTTGCTAAATTGCTTAGGGCCTCGCTAAGTTGCTGAGACTGGCTTTGAACTCTTGATCCTCCTGTATCAGCCTCCTAACCGCGTCCAGCCCCAAGATATTAGTTTTAAATGAGTTTTACTTTTGGAAATAGTTTTTATTTAATCTCCAACCAGAACATCCCCATGCATTAAGCAAATGTGCATTTATGTGTAGCATGTCATTTACTCCATTCACCAGTAGCTTAATGCTCTTGGGGATTTCCAACCACCTCCCAGGAGGGCTCTGCAGGCCCTAGATAGGGGTGGTCCATAGACAGATGAACCCCTGGTCGCTCAGAATCCTCCCAACCCTGTGTCCTATAATTAATTCTATGACCAGAAAAAATGAAGTTGATATCTTGTACCTCTCCCATCTCATGAGGTTTGCTAAGAATCAGAAAATGGATGTGAAGGGTCCTGAAAATTACATGGTACCGTGTTCATGGAGGATTTTTTTTTTTTTTTTTTTTTTGGTACCAGGGATTGAACTCAGGTGCCCTTTACACTGAGCCACATCCATGGCTCTCCCCCCTTTTAAAAAAAAATTTGAGACAAGGTCTTGCTAAATTGCTCAGGGCATCACTTAGTTGCTGAGGCTGTCCTCAAACTTGTAATCCTCCTGCCTCAGCCTCCTGAGCTGCTGAGATGTTATTTTATTATAGCTACATGTGAGTAATTTCCAGGAAGGGAAGGGCTTTGAATTGGACTGAGATGGACAGTTACCCAGGTGTGCACTGCTCAAGAGGACCAGACCCCAGGAGGTACTGTTCACAGCCGGAGCCTGCGGATTTATAGATTCATGATGACAGTTTTTCAGCGGATGGAAGTGAAATGTCTTGTAAGGGGCTTGTTTTGTATTTGCACAATGATGAAGTGTGGGGTGCTAGAGGCTCCTCATCCCACACAACTGAACAGATCCAAAGCTTGAGTCCCATGGATCATTTGCTTCACATCCATATCTCCCTGCAGGCCTGACAGGGCTGCAAACAGAGACCATATGACTCCCTTGGATATTGCCTGGAACACGTGGCCATGGGGAGAGGACACTAAAACCTGGACAGCAAACTTGGTGGATCAAATAGCCCTCTTGGGCCTGTGGCCCAGCCTGAGGGGGGTGGGGGAGGGAGGAAGCCCAGTGTAGGGGGGCTCTGGACACTTGGAGGGGACTGGCCTCAAACCTAAGACAAAGTTTCCGGAAGTTCAGCCAGGTGTATTCTGTCCGGAAGGTTTTTAGTTTTTATGTTGTTTCTGAGGAGTGTGGGGGTGGGGTGGGCTATTTATGGATTATTTATGCAGCGTTCAGGAACCCCGCGGTGCAGTGTGCAGAGCCAGTTGGAATCGAGGTCAGGAACCTCTGTATCTAGCTTCTCATCAGGAGCCATGTCTTTGGGCTGTCGAGTGGTTGGTGTGAGTCTCTGATGCTGGCATCTGAGCCTCGTTTTTGTACTATATTATTTGATTAAATAAAGAAGTTTTCACAGAAGTGTGATCTGGATTATTCCAATGGAGGCCAGGCAGATGCCCTCCTACTGCGTCCTTGATGGTTGGGTGGGGACGGGGGACTTGCCCCCTGTCCCCAGGCTTCTCTCTGCACCCTCTCCAGGTGTCCCGTCCTTGGGGTGACAACTCACTGAGGCAGATAAATAAAGGGTCCTGGGCTGGGGTGTCAGGAGACCCGGGATTTAGTCCAGCAGCCACAGACTGGTGACCTTAGGGGCAGGACATGTGCCCTCTGGAGCTGACATTCTGCCACTCTGTGGCTCCCACGGTGGCAGCTCATTGTGCATCTGGGAAGATCCAGGTTGGTCTCGAGTCTACATGATCTCTCATCCGTCCTGCACTCTGGTGCCCAAATTCTGTCACTTAGCACCAAAATTTTTGTCTAGAAAACATGGTCTCCATAGAAAGCCATACAATCTCCTTTTCCCTCTGTGACGGACGACACAGGATCTACTTCTCTTCAAACCCTTGAAGGCTCAACTACACTCTAAGGAGATCAGGAGAAGACAGCTTTGAAATCCTCACCTCACAGAGGAGGAAACCAAGGCTCAGAGTGGGCGAGTGACTGGTTCAAGGTCACACAGCCACCCACGACCTGTCTTGGTGCCCTCCACCATCTGATCCATTAGATCATAAATTCAGCCCACAGTTACTCAGCACTTTTGAGGCACCGGGCGCCATGCTGACTCTCTGGAATACCAGACGCAAAAAGGTGTGGCCCCTGTCCTCGGGATGCTCGTGGACCCACTGGTTATGGGATTTTGTGACAGTAGGAATACGGGGGGGGTGGACTCGGTGGAGGTGATGTATAAGGACGGGCCTCCCTCGCCGTACACCATGGCCACTTTTATGAGAGCACCCAGTGCATGGGACATGCTGCTGCCTTGAGAGTCCTTCAGAAGGTGGACGAGTGACCTCAGGACACTTGTGTCTGAGAAGATGCCCGGGGGGGCGGTGCTCCATGGTGAGTCCTGGACAACGGGCTGGGCAAGGGGCAGCGGGGTTAGGCTGGGCAGGGTGTCACTCAGCAGCCTTGGAAGACAAGACTGCACCTGGCCTCGGCCTTGACCCTAGCAAGACCCCTGATGTCCAGGCACAGCACAGGGGGCTTCACACACCACCCACGAGTGTTGTTTAATTTATTTTGGGGGGGCATCAGGGATTGAACTCAGGGGCACTCGACCACTGAGTCACACATCCCCAGCCCTATTTTGTATTTTATTTAGAGACAGGGTCTCCCTGAGTTGCTCAGTGCCTCACCCTTGCTGAGGCTGGCTCTGAACTCGGGATCCTCCTGCTTCAGCCTCCCAAGCTGCTGAGATTACAGGTGTGCGCCACCGCACCCAGTGTTGATTCCAAAAAAAAAAAAAAAAAGATAAAAAGGAGAAAGGAACAAATGAGAGTCACCAGCTTTAGCAAATAAAAGTTCAGGGTGCCCAGGTAATTCTGAGTCCCAGATAAACACACGATGGCCACGGTAGGGACAGACTTCTAAAAAATACCTATTTGGTGTTAATCTGAAATTCGAATTTCACACCATGCTCTGTATTTTGTCTGGCAACATTGAAATTGATGGGAGAATAATTCTCTTAATTATCTTGAAATCAGGGAAATAAATCAAAGCAAAGGCAAATCTGCAAGGGGATTTATTGATCCTTTAACTGATATTGAAAGCGTCTAGGCTCTAAATACAGAACGAAGACAATAATCATCAGTAAGTTCAATTCTCCTATGTACCAAGGAATAAGTGTTCCCCAGAAGACAGAACCCCCCTTCCTGGGCATCACCTGCCTCTCAACTGCTGAGAACACAGAGGCTAGCCTGGGCGAAAGGCTGGTGGCCAGGAGAGCCACTCTGGGGGCCCCTCCTCTTCTCCGCCACACAGACCCCCAGCTGTTCCCTTGTCTGGGCCACAGGAGCAGCCAAGGAGGCAGAGGACACACAGTCCCAGGGACCCGGGCTCCCCCCCCACAGGCCCCATCTCAGTTCACATCCGCACCCTCCCTCCCTGGGCTCCTGGCCCTGGACGGTTGGCCCCTGGGTTTTGCATTCCAGGATTTGTTAATCAAACACTGAGAGCAGCAGGGAGGCGGGTCTGGGCTCCTCAGGTCCCCTCCCACTCCAGCTCCCGTTTCCTCTCCGGGTTCACGGCTTCCTAGGGAAAGGAAGGGATCCATTACTTCTGGGCAACCCCCTCCACCACCAAGGGTGGGCTTCCCTAGCCTGGGTTCCACCAAGGACATGGCTTCCTGATTCATTCCCCTGGGGCAGCCCTGACTAGTGGCCAGGCCCCGTGATGGCCAACCTCGTGTAAGGAAACTGGAAATGTGGATTTATGCTAAGTCCGTGGGAAGCTTCACTTTATTATTCAAGGGTCCTCTGCGGCTCTCCTGGGAGGTGATAAAAGGGTGTCTGAAACATTATTCAGTTTATAAAAGTTCGAGTGGTACTTGGTGTTTCAGGAAGAGGTGGGGGTGGAATGGTCTCCAGACAGCTGAATACGGTTGTGCGGGTCGTACACTGTGCAAGGGTATGGTGCCGTATCAAGAAGGGAGGCAATTCATAGGCATAGAAATGTCCTTGGTATTGGTACAGTTTTCTAGCAGTTGACAGTCAAGATCTTGTTTTAACAAAATTCAATATAGCAACATTCCATCTGCTGACAGGTTCTCCAGAAAGGGGTGTCATTTCTTTAGTTTCCGAGGTGCTGTATAGACTACTGTTGTCCTTGACTATGACCAGGAAGGGGAAGGTGGGGGCAGAAATGAAGTTGGATTGACAGGATCAGGGGTCAGTAGAGCAACCTGGGAGAGGACAGGTAGGGTCTGGCCTTGGGGAACACCCAGAGGGATTCCACACCTCAGGGCGGCTGTGTTCCTGGATCCGGCTGGGATGAGGCCTGTAGGTGACCCAAACTATGTCGGATGTGGAGAGCAGAGGGAATTCCAGGGAGCAGGGTGCAGACCTGGGGGAACACATGTGAGAAGAAACAAGATACAGATGGGAAATAAGTAGAAGACCCAAGTTCCAAGCCTTTACCTGTGTGACCCTGGGCAAGCCACTCGCCCTTTCTGGGCAACAGCAAAAAGACTCCTGCAGAGACCATCTCAGAGATATGCCCGGGCGTAGACTTGCATATTCTTGGATAATTTTCAAGTCTGTGGTTCTGCTGGGTGAGCCCTGCAGTGACTCCCCAGGACCACACGGGAAGCCCAGCCCATTAGCAGGCGCCTGAGCCAGCCTGGCTTACCCCTGCCCTGGTTCCAAGTTCACCTCCAGGCTTCTCCCTGCCTCCAACCTCGCGCTGGGAGTAGCTGCTTACGGACTGTGGGTTACTGGCTCGGGCCACCCTGTGTGCCTGGAATGGCCCCTGTGTCCTCCATCCCCAGACTGGCTGACCTCTGCTGCTGCTCCTCCTCCTCCTCCTCCTCCAGGAAGCCTTCCCTGAGACCCTGCAGCTGACAGGATGAGCTGGCTGCCTCTCCTCTGTGTCCCCTCCCGTCCTAAGCCAGCGATTCTCAAACTCCATCGAGCTCAGACTCACCAGGTGACATGCAGACTGCCGGGCAGCCCCAGGTTCTTAGCCCAGTAGGTCTGGGCTGGACCCAAGGTCTCCCAGGTGCCGTGGCTGACCCGGAGATCCGTCATCCACAGGACCTCTGACCTCTAACAGAGGCCAATCTCCCTCCAATGAACTGAGCACAGACCATCATCGCCTCTATGTCCACCAAAGAATAGGGATTAACTGAAAGTTGTTTGGAGTAAATACAAGCCAACAAGCCCGAGAGCGCTATGAAAGAAAACTACACGGTATCCTGTAGTAGACAGGCTAAAGTGGACTTGTGGCTTCAACACACGCTGTTGGATATGGACCACGTGTCAAGTTCAGCGCAGGATTGGTACTGCAGGTGCCTCTGGACCTAGTCCAGGATGAAGCGATGCCCTGCAATATTTTACTCACGTGAAGCTCTGCTGTGTGATTTCCTGGATGCCTTCACCCCTCTGAGCCCGCCCACCCCACAGGGTTAAGATAATTGAGTGTGAAACAGAGTGCTGGCACTTGATAACCGTTCAACACGTTCTTAAAAATCCTCACCAACAGGAAGCCAGCGCCTGGCCCATCAGACATGAAAGCACTTGAGAAGCTCAGTGGGTGTGACACGTGCTGGTGACACAGGAACAGGCAGCCAGGCCAACGGGACAGGCCCAGACACTAACGACAAGTCAGCACAAAATATAGGTGCTGTTTAAATCAGCAGGGAGAGAACAGGTTGCCTAACTAAGTCACTTGGAGATGACTGATCAGCTAATTTGGGGAAAATTTAAGCGTGTTACTTTTCACCAGTTAGTTTGAAATAAAAATTAAGACTGGGACAAACTGGGTGCAGTGGCGTAAGCCTATAATCCCAGCCGCTTGGGAGGCTGAGACAGGAGGATTGCAGGTTCAAAGCCAGCCTCAGCAACAGTGAGGCACTAAGCAACTTAGCAAGACCCTGTCTCTAAATAAAATATAAAATAGGGCTGGATGTGGCTCAGTGGTCGAGTGCCCCTGAGTTCAATCCCTAGTATCACAAAAATTAAAAAATAAACAAACAAATAAATGAAGATTGAGACAGGTGCACATCTCTTATCTAAAGCCCTCGTGGGCAGATGGCTTGGGAACCAAGCTCCAAACTTTAGAGAAAGAAAAATAGTGCTTTGGTCAAGTGTTTTGTAACTCCCCCATAGGGTGTGGGAGCACCCCACAATGAGTCACATTATCATTTCTACAGGCAAGTTATGAAAATTCATACCACGTGGAAAAAAGGCCACAGATAATTTGACCTCTGGCAACAGTGAAGATTTTGCTATCAAGAATGACCACAGGTGATTGTTTTTTCAGAGTAACTTCCATTTCAGAATTGTAGGTAAGGGACAGTGGACCTGGGATGCCTAGCATTGGTGAGCTTGCATGTAGGAAGATCTACTCTCTAGTTCATTTGCTGATGGGAGTGTAAGTTATTATAATCCCCTCAAGGACAATTTGGTCAACCTTTGGTCATTTGGTCAACCTACCCCAAATATAGACCTTTTGACCTAGCAATTCCAGTTCTAGAAAGGTACACACCAAAGGGACAGTTGGGTATGTGTGTCCAAGAATGTGTTCAGGGGGACATTTATCACAGCAATGTCCATAAGAGCCACAAAATAGAAACAACCTAAATGTCCATCTGTAGGGGATCGATGAAACAGACAATGATACACTCACACCAATGGAATACCACAGATCCACTACAGACTTGATAAATCTATATTTGACATGGAAAGAAGCAGCGATATACCATTTAGTCCAAAAACAGGCTATAAAACATTATGTAGCATATGATGCCATTTTCATAAAAATAAAAAGTACATGTCTGTCTGCATATGCTTAAAATGTGGAAGTTTTCTCCACCAAAATATTAACATCTGGGTGGTGGGGTTTCTGGAGATTTTTTACTTTCTATTTATGCTTTTCTAAATTTGTAATGAGAGCATGTTGTTTTTAAAACCAGAAAAAGTAATAAAATTTCTCATCCTATAAAGAGTGAAGGTATTAAAAAAATAGGGATAATGTCTTTCTCGAGTGACGCTTAAGCTGTGCTAAAGTAGAGTCCCCCACCCAGAGTCTGAGTGGGTGGCTTGTCTCTGGTGTCCTCCTCGTGGTCAGAGACCCTCTCTCTGCTCCTTTCTGTTGGCACCCGAGGTTTTCAAGCTGCCTCAGTCTCCCCAAATGTCCCACACAGGCCTGGGCACTAATCACGGGACTTGACGCGTCTTCGGTAGCCAGAACGACACAGGATGCTTGTACATTCGGCTTCTCATTTAAGTCCCAAATAACTGAGGGATGAAGTAGATGTTCACAGGGAGAAACTGAGATTCCCATTGAGTAAAGTGACCAGCCTAATGAGGGCCAAACCCTGTGATTCTGACTCCCGGGCCGGTGTTCCTACCACCCTGTACATCAAGACACTGGGCACAGATGACTTGGATGGGATCCTGGCTCTGCCACATACCAGCTGCATGGCTTTGGGCATGTTATTTAATGTCTGTGCCACAGTGTCTGGAACATAAGTACTGTGTACATTTTACTTATTATTATTATTATTACATTCAGATTTGAATGGGGGAAATTCCACGAAAACCCCAAGAACATGCTCTCTCATGCAGTAAATCTGGGGAGTCTGACATGGTATAAGTAGGAGGATTTGGGGGCAGGAGAGTTGTCCTCTTTTTCCATTTGCAGCCTGCAGGCTGTCTCTTAATGGGGGGCCAGTTCTATAATCCAGAGTCAGAAGACTACTGAACATTTTGGAGGAGAGACAAGGCTGCAGAGGAAAGCCAGGCTGATCCCCATCTCCACCTGCTCTAGGAGAAGAGCATGCCTGGACTGACTGCGGTCCTGGGCTGAAGGAGACATGGAACAGAATCAGTGTGGACCTGCAGCCTAGGCAGAGCAACCCAAGTCAACGGATAGACCCAAGGAAGAAAAAAAAAATGTTTGTCATTTTAATCCACTGAAATGGTGTTGTTTGTTACGCAGCAACAACTGCCGAATACAATCTGCATCAGAGCATGGATTTGCACGTCTGATTAAACAACCACACTGATGACTGTGTGGGGCATCTGCCCTATAATGTTTATTCTGGCCTCTCTCCTGTTGCTGGCAGGGACCAGGAGTTTATTCAGAACAAGCCCATGTATGAGACTGTGCCGCTTGTGATTGCAGCCTGGGAGGAAATGAGCAGATATCTCCTCTCAGATTCCTCCCCATTCTCCTTCCCTGGCTTCTCTGGAGCTTCTCTTTTCTGCCCTAACCCAGGCCTTTGAAGTTCAGAGCAGCGAAGGTGCCTATAATTAAGATCACCAAAGAGGAACTCGCCTCTGGGCAGCTCGTCCTCATCTGTGAAGGAGGCTGCAGGCACCTGGCCCAGGGCAGTCTGTGAGACCGCAGCAGACCGCCTGCTTCCTTAGAGGGCACCTCCATCTGCAGGTTCATCTACCAAGGGAGCTCCGGCCGGTCGCACAGTCCCCCTGCCCAGCTGCGGTGGGAAGAGAACTGGCCCTGGAATCAAGGAACCTGAGTCTCGGCCTGGCTGGTCCTCCTAGCTCCAGGGGTGCCCTACACCCATGATGGACCTGCCTAAATTCTCATGAATGAACTTGACCTTGAGCTCCCAGAGACAGAGAGATGAACCCTCAAAGGTCAGGGAAATCTTGAGGCTGGAGACAAAGGAACAGAGCGAGAACAATCCCAGGCACCGATTCCATAACCCCAGGAACCTCCAGCTGCCTAGAGTCCTGTCTGCTCCCTGCCCACGCTGCAATCCAGAAAGGGACATGAGGGTGCGCCCCACTTCCCGAGCAGCTCTGAGAATCCCCTTCCCACCACCTGCACCCCCCACCCACTAAGTCCATATTTACCCAGACTCTGCTATGGGCTATGGGCTTTGGGCTATGAGGGTAAGAAGGACCCTCATCAAGCTGAAATCCTCATGCCTCCCTGGGGACCCCCACTCGGGACAGGGACCATCAGGAAGGATGTTGCTTTGAGAAGCGATTCACATAGTTGATTGCATTCAACTCTCCTGATCTTATGAGCTGGTAGGTATCACCCCCATTTGGCAGATCAGGAAATGAAGGCTCAGAGAAGCCAAGCGTCCTGACTGTGGCCACTGAGTGAGGCTGAGGCAGAGGGATTTCTTGTCTCCAAAGCCCAGTCTCCCTGCCCCCATGCTTCTAGAATGTTCCTGAGGCAGTCTCCAGAGCTGGTCCCCAGGGATTTAAAAAAACATAAGACGCTCACTGCACTTTGCTGCCTGGTTTTTTGGCCCGTGGTTGCCTCGGAAAGCCTTTTCGAGTGCTGCTTGGTTTTGGTTTGTTCTTCTTGAATACCTTATTCACCCAGTTTGCATCCTTAGCCGGGCTCTCCCTGGGCAAAGACAGGAAATAGGTGGTTTGTTAGTGGCCCATCCCACGTCCATCATTCTAGGGTCCTGCTGTAGCTCAGGAGGAGGATCCACAGGGTGGCCGAGCACCAGAGATGCCCAGCAAACACTGATGGATATTGATGAATATTTACCTAACATCATGCCAACTAGGCACTGAGACTCAGACTTGTGTTCACTGTTAGATGGAAATGCAGACGTTTAAGTGATGTGAACGCAATGCAAAATCTATTCGTAAGCTCAAAATTATTACATTTATACAAACTCTGTCAAAAAGTTGTAGAGTTAAAATCGAGCATAATGTGGCGGGCAGAGTCGGCTTTGGCTTAGTAAGTTGGATCCAATGAGGCTGCTCAGGCCCTGCTCTCCAGACCTGCAGCTGCCAACCCTGGACCTGGCCAGTCAGGGCTGTCCCAGCGGGGGATGGAGTTGTGGGTAGGATCGGGGAGAAAGGTGCTTGACTCACCTCTGATTTCCCCCTGGCGAACCCAATTGCCATCCAGCCAGCCAGGAGCCCAGGTAAGTAGCCCCCAGGGGACATTAAAAAAAATATGGGGGTCTAGAACCCCAGACCCTCTCATAATTGCCGTAAAGATAAAAATGCAGTCTGCTGAACACACTGGACAATTCACGCACACTGTAAGAAGGGCTCCCCTCAACCAGACGGCGCAGGGGCTGCGGAGGCCGGCAGGGTGCTGCTCCCCGCTTTGAACTGTGGCTCCACCGACAGTAAAATACGGGGCGCGTCCGCGCGCTGCACCCACAGGGGCGTCCCCGGTGTGCAAAGGAGGGAACCAAGGATCACAGCGTCCTCCACGCGAGCAGGCTGGTGCCCACACGGCGGAGGACAGAAAGGGACACGGGAACCGCGCAAGCCAGAGCAGGGTCGCCGCGTCCCTGGCCGCTGAAGGGGTGGGGCGCGTCGCCTAGCGGGGCCCCTTGCCCTGACCCGAGGAAAGAAGGCGCTCCCAGGGAAGGCACTTACGTCCCGTGAGGCCGGCTGATGGTTTCCTTCCCGGGGACGAGGACGCGAGGTACCGCACTTTCGGAATTTGCAGAGGCGAGGGGAGCTTCAGGCAAAGCAAAAACCGGAGACGTGAGTGACAGAGGGCCCTGGCGGGTCTTGGGGTTTTGTTTTATGCCAGGGATTGAACTCAGGTGCATAACCACTGAGCCTCTTCCCCGGCCCATTTTATTCTTTTTTTTATTTTGAAAAAGGGTCTTGCAAAGTGGCTCAGAGCCTCCTCCCTAAGTTGCTGAGGCTGGCTTTGAACTTGTGATCCTCCTGCTTCAGCCTCCTGAACCACTGGGATTACAGGCATGTGCCACTGCAATTGCCACTTGGTCCTTTTGAAATGACAACAGTAAGTAAGCAAGAGTGTTAAAAAAAAAAAAAAAAAAAAAAAAAACCCAAAACAGTAAATTCTCTTGTTCTCAAATTCCCATATTTAGGACCAAATCACGTTACTAGATTTGGTAGAGACCCAGGGCAGCAGCTGTGGAAGGGCTGAGGCTGACCCTTGATGGGACATTAGGGATGACTCCTCCCAGAAAGCAGCAGGTAGGGGGAGTCTTCAGGAAAAACCCCTCAGAGGGGCCTGGACTCCCATCACCGGCTTCACGTAACACTTTCTTCTCAGAATGGAGAATATCCATCATGACCATCACTCTTAAGCAAGCTCTTTGAATGTTTTCAATGAGGATGGGATGCAGGCTAGCCGAAGATAATTGTGTGGTAGATATAAATATAAGTAGTATAAAATATAGATTTCCCTATCTGAAGTTCCTTTGTTAGGTCCTCTGGGATGTCCCTGGGTGTCCCCAATCTATTTGCAGTGAAGCTTGCCCATTGTTTATAGATTTTCCTAAGGCCATTTGCAATTCTGTCCCCAAATAACACACGAGCCATCACTGAATCACTGATGGCACTGAACCCAAGGGGGTCCCCTCTGCCTAACTCCCACAGATGGCTGGGGATGTTGCTGTGAGGCTCCACTGTAGGTTGTGACGGATTTTCAGCTTTGGTACTTTTGCCATTGAGGCCAGATACTTCTTTGGTGTAAGAGCATCCCTGTCCTCTGCCTACTAGGTGACATCCAAAAATATCTCCAAATATTGCTAGATGCCTCCTGGGAATAGGATCACTTCTAGCTGAGAACCAACCACTGGCCTGTCTATGCCTCCTCTGCACGAGTGAAGAAAGCCAACTCAGGGCCAGGTCTGCTCGGGCTCTGAAGACAGCCACCTTTATGTTCAGGGGTGACCAGCTGCAAATAAAAGCATTATACTGGCCAGGTGCAGGAGCACACACCCCCAGCAGCTCTGGAGGCACGAGGATGGTGAGTTCAAAGCCAGTCTCAGCAATGGCAAGGCGCTAAGCAACTCAGTGAGACCCTGTCTATAAATGAAATACAAAATAGGGCTGAGGATGTGGCTCAGTGGTCGAGTGCCCCTGAGTTCAATCCCTGGTACCTCTCCCCAAAATGCATTGTACTTTAACAGGAAATTAGAAAGCATGTAAAATCCTTCAATTTTTCGACTCCTAATGTTCTTGTGTTTTTGTCTTATTGTGATTAAAAGAATAAAGGTTAATCTATTCCAGAGAAAAGGGGTCACTTCTGACTTGGGGTAGAGCCCCAAAGAAGCAAACCTTGCTGATCTGGGCTTTTAACTATGGAAGTTTGGCTGGGGGATGGTGAGGACCACCTGAAGTCCATCTTCTGGGCTGCTCTCCTCCTGCCCACACCCAGGCCACCCTTGGTGGTCACACGCATCTCCTCTTCACCCTGTATGTGCCTTCCACTTCCTTACTCTGCACCTGAGCCTCTTGAATACGAATCTGAAAGCTCTTTCTTCTCCATCCCATAAACCACGATTGTCAAAAACCTGCCCATTTAGCTCCTGTCACCTCCAAGAAGTCTCTCTTATCCTTATTCCCCAGAGAGAAGTGGTCAGATTTTCTATGAATACCCTCCAACGTGGGTTTTGTTACTTATGCTTTCAACTTGTGGGGACACATGTTGTCTCTCAGGCTGGAGAGATTTTATGGGGGTAATGAATCAAAACCAGTTCATCTTGGCAGCCCCATAAGGTGTTTTCTCAAACTCTCCGTAGTGAACAATTGGTTTTAAAAAATTATTTGCGGGCTGAGATTGTGGCTCAGCGATAGCACTCGCCTAGCGCGGGTGGGACTCGGGTTCGATCCTCAGCACCAAATAAAAATAAAGGCATTGTGTTGTGTCCATCTACACCTAAAAAATAAATATTTAAAAATTATTTGCAATCTTTAATGGGCTGTATTCTTGTAAACTACAATTCAAATGCATTAGTAGAAAATTGATCAAACAGTTGGCGCTCTGCACTCATTTCATAGTGACCTAGTAACGGTGCGGAGGCTGGCCGCCATCTGTGGACCACTCTTGAGTATCACCGCCCAGCACTGCACAGGGGCTTTCACCATTAAATTCTACTGAAGCAGCCCTGCAGCAGTTCAAATGGGAGTGGGCACAATCACAACAGGCTGGTGAAAAAGACAGACAGCTGAACCCCACCCCGTTTGTGACTTAGTAGGTCTGTGGTTGGACCTGAGAACTGTCACTTCTAACAAGTTCTCAGAGGATGCTTTCCTAACTGGTTGGAGGGACCACTTTGAGAATCACAGCACCAAAGGAACAAAGAGATGGTGATCGCACTGCCCCCTTGTGGTGGTCTGAGCTCATAACAAGCAGAGCGGCTAAAGCTTGTTGAGAACTCAGAGAGGAGAATGCAGTGGGCAGCCAGAGGGGTCCCTACCTTGGGGCTGTTCTGGGCCCAGTTCTTCCACAGGTGGTTGTGCAGGCGACACTAAAGGAGAGCCTCCAGGCGATGGTTGTGATGTCCCCGCAGCTGATGGCCCCAGGGGTGGCCTGGGTGATGTATGTGCCTGGGAGGGTGGTGAGCTGAGTGGCAGTCCAGATGGTTGTATCTGCTGCCCAGGTGACACAGGTGACAGCTCAGGTGGTACAAAAGGCAGTGGCGGGCCAGGTATTGGGCTGGGTGATAAGTGCCCAGCTGAGCCCGAGGTTGGTGGCAGAGGTGGCAAATCACTTGGAGACAGTGGCAGTGATGAGGTCTTTGGTGGTGCAGGTGGATGTTTGGACGTAGAGACAGGTGGAGAAACAGATGACTGCACAGGGCACTCGCACGTGGACTGGGGAGTCTTCACAGGTTGGGGCACAGGCGGGTGGCCATCCCCGTTGTCCCCCTGGGGACCAAGCTCTGAGGGTTCCTCCCGCCGTGTTGGGGGGCTCGGCTGGCTGCGCTCGGGGCACTCATTGCCAAGGGCGAGTTCTATCTGGCAGTACACTTCCACACGGGGGAACAACACTGTCCTGGACGGGGAATCCAGGTAGGCAGCATCTGGGAAGAACAACGGCCTGGGTCACAGGCAGCCTGACGAACCCCGACATCACCCAGCATCTGCAAAAACGGACCCCAAGTTATCTTCATAAACGGGACTAGTGCTTTCAATGGCCTTTCTCTCCTTACTTCAACTCTCAGTGAGAAAAACAGGCATGATTCTCCCTGGATCTGGAGTCTACAGTCTAGGGTGGGGAGGCAGACACTGCCCAAGTAGTCTAAGAAAAGCTAAGAAACAAACTGTGGCCCTTAGTTAATAATGATGTATCAATATCCATTGGTTAATTGGAACAAATGTGACATATGGTGTACCCTATTACATATATACCATATTATAACATTTAATGATGTGAGACTTCAATAGTAGAACCGGACACAGTGGTGCAAGCCTGTAATCCCAGCGACTCAGGAGCCTGAGGCAGGAGGATCACAAGTTAGAGGCCAGCCTGAGCAACTTAATGAGACCTTGACTCAAAATAAAAAAATAAAAAGGGCTGGGGATGAAGCTCTGTAGTAAAGCACCTCTGGGTTCAATTCCCAGTACCAAAAATAATAATGATAATCAAAAGAGGAGGAGGAGAAGGAGGAGGAGGAGGAGGAGGAGGAGGAGGAGAGTGCACAGAATCTCCCTGTACTATTTCACATTTTTTTTTTTGGTTTTGTTTTCATACCTGGAATTGAACCCAGGGGTACTTAACCACGGAGCCACATCTCCAGCCCTTTTTTGTATTTTATTTAGAGACAGGGTCTCAATGAGTGGCTTAGGGTCTCACTGAGTGGCTTAGGGCCTCACTGCTGAGGCTGGCTTTGAACTTGAGGTCCTCCTGCTTCAGCCTCCCAAGCTGCTGGGATTACAGGTGTGCACAATCTCACTTAACCTATTTCACAATTTTTCTATAAGTCTTAAACTATTACACAAATTATTATTAAAAGGGAAGCTGTATGGGAAGACAGCTGAGCAGTCACTTCACCAAGAAGATAAGGATGGCAAACAAGCAAATGAAAGATGCTTAACATGGTTAGTCATTAGGGAACTGCAAATCAAACCCCAGTGATACCTCCGCACACCTACTGGAGTGGCTGAAGCTAAGTGACCCACCATACTAACTTGAGAAAATTTGGAGTAACTGGAGCTCTCACCCACTGCAGGGGGGTGGGGAACAGAAGGTGGTACAGTGACTTGGGAAGCAATTTGGCAACCTCTTAAAAGTCAAACACACATTCTGATTATAGATCCAAAGGCACCAAAAACAGGATTCTAAAGAGAAATTCATACCCCTCATGTTCATCATGGCTTTATTCACAATAAGGAAGGGGGAACACGTGCGGCCCATCAGCAGATCAATGGATAAGGACAATATGGTACAAATGATGGGCTCAGCTTAAAGGTGAAAGGGAACCCTGCACCTCCCACGACACGACCAACCCGAGGACGCTGTGCCAGGTGACATAAGCCAGTCACTTATGTCACACTGTCTGATTCCACGTCTATGAGATATCTAAAGTAGCCAAACATGTAGAAGCAAAGTCAGTGGCCAGAGGCCGGAGGAGAAGAACAGAGGAATTGGCGACTAGTGGCTTTGGAGTTTCAGTTTTGCAAGATGAAGAAGTTCTAGCGTTCTGTTGCACAACAATATGAACCTCAACTGTGTACTTACAATGGTTTACAGTTATTTTTCCACAGTTAAACTCTATGTGGCACATGCCTGAAATCCCAGCGACTCCGGAGGCTGAGGCAGGAGGATCACGAGTTCAAAGCCAGCCTCAGCAACTTAGTGAAGCCCTAAGCAACTCAGCGAGACCCCTGAATCTAAATAAAATACAAAAAAAGGGGTGGGGGGCTGGGGATGTGGCTCAAGCGGTAACTCGCTCGCCTGGCATGCGCGGGGCGCCTGGTTCGATCCTCAGCACCACATAAAAATAAAATAAAGATGTTGTGTCCACCGAAAACTAAAAAATAAATATTTAAAAAAAGGGGGTGGGGATGTGGCTCAGTGGTCGAGTGCTTAGGGCTCAATCCCCAGTACCAGAAAAAACAACAGAACTATATGCGTTAAATATACACATACCACACAATCCAGTTTTCCATTGTTTACCCAAGAGAAATGAAGACGAGTGTCCATACAGACACTCACGGAGTGTTCAAGCAGCTTCGTTCACAACAGCTCAAATCGGGAAGCAACCTGACTGTCCATCAGCAGGCGAATGGAGGAGCGAGCTGTGGGTGTGCTCACAAGGTGGGTGGGAAGGGAAAGTTAAAAAGGGGGGGGCGGGGTGAACTGTTCCTATTTGCAAGAACATGGGTGAACCTCGGAATACTTCTGCAGAGTGAAGGAATCAGATAAGAGAGAATTCGATCTATTAGATTCTATTTATCAAAATTCTAGAAAATGCAAATTCCCCGTGATGACAGAAAACAGACGGGGATTGCTTGGGAAGGACGGTGGGGGGAGTCCTGAAAGGGCACCAGGGGACTTGGATGGCTCGCTGCCTTGATTGTGGTGATGTTTCCACAGGGGTGTGTGTGTGTGTGGTGTGTGTGTGTGAGAGAGAGAGAGAGAGAGAGAGAGAGAGAGAGAGAGAGAGAGAGAATCAAACTGTGAGATGGAGGAAGGAGGAGAGAAGCCGAGGGAGGGCTGGGCGCGCCAGGTGTCCCATGGGCGTTTGGAGGTGGCGCCCACGGAGTGCCAACCTCGCCCCGCGCCCTGTCCCCACGGCTGCGTGACAGTGTGGCTTTTTGAGCGCGCCAGCGCAGGGGGGGGGGCGGCTACAGGGGAGGCCGAGGGTGGGAGCCTGGCAGCAGGAATGGGGAGGAGGATGTGAGCCCTTGAGAGGGAGGAGAAGGAGGACGCGAGGAGGTGACATGGGGAGTTGGCCGGGACACCTTTCGGGATGTGGCTTCCTGCCAGAGGTGATCCCTATCCAGAAAGCAGCCAGGCTGCTCCCCAGATGGCAGGTGGCACCAACCGAAGTGTCTCCGGACGTGTCCGTGGCTCCGGTCACATCCAGGGCCAGGAGGAAAGCCCAGTCCCGCCCCGGCCCGAGGAGCTGGAGCTGGAGCTGGGGGCCCCACTGCCCGAGAGCAGGCGCGCATGCGCACACTGGAAGAGGGAGCCCTGTACTCAGCCGGAGCTGGTGTGAGAAGTTTTCCTGCCTCCAACTGAATCTGCTCCTACTTGGTGTGATCCCAGGGCCACTGGAGACGCTGCCACCCTCTACTGCGCTGCCTCCAGCGTTCCAGGGACGCCTGGAATCCCACCAGTTGGTTTCATCCGTGGGGTTTAAAGCTGTCAGTCAAACCTGTGCAAATGTCCGCACCAGCCATGGGCAGAGGGTGAGGAGGGTGGAGGGCCTGAGGTCCCTCCAGAGGGTGCAAGAAGGGCCACCGACAAGGGGGCGGCTAATGATGCTGCAGAGCCACTTTGTGACTGTCCCTAGGACTCGTCCTGAGAGAAAAAGAAAATACATTCCAGGGGAGAGATGCCACCATGGGCAGGTGTCGAGGGGGCTCCCAGGGCCGGGGACTGGAATCTGCTCCAGGATCTAAGCCCCAAATGAGGGGGTCTTCAAACTCCAAGTCCTCCACACCGACCACCCCTTCAGAAAGGGTGGGGATCCTGGGGGGGGCCTGGCCACCCCTCCTGTTGCCGAGCTCTGTCACTGAGCCTCCTTCCATTCCCTACCCATACTCCTGGGGTCATCTATGTTCAGACCCTTGGGCTCCAATCGTCCCAGCTGTCACCACAGTAAGTGTGAGGAAGAGAGGGCTGTCAGAGGGAGTCCACATGAGGTGGCATCTGTCCTGCAGAGGGTAAGAAGCAGGCCTTTCACCAACCAAGGCCAGAGGGGGCAGTGGGATTAATTGGCTGCTGCTCTGATGTCCTCAGTAAGTGCCACCACCGATCTGAGCACTGGGCTTAGGCCTTGTGTGCTCCAATCCTTTAATCCTTCAGTCAGTCTCTGAGCTAAGCTCCAAGATTAGCCTCCTTTTACAGATGAGAAAACTGAGGCCCCAGAAGATTAGTTACCTTCTCAAGATCCTACAGTCAAGTAGGTGTTGGGCACTAGGATCTAAACTCTACCCTTTGTTAAAAAAATATTTTTAGTTGTAGATGGACACAACACCTTTATTTTATTTTATTTATTTATTTTTAGGTGGTGCTGAGGATCAAACCCAGTACCTCACACATGCTAGGCAAGCACTCTACCACTGAGCCAAAACCTCAGTCCCTAAGCTCTTTAAAAAAAAAAAAAAAAAAAGATTAGGAAGCAAAGGCTCAGAGAGGGAAAGTGATTTTCCCAAGATCACACAGCTTGACATGGGAGCAGGGATAGGAGGGACCCAGGGCTACTTGCCTCCTGAGCCCATGTTCTGTCCAGTTCTTTCCAACCTCCTGGGCCTCCTTGTTAGGAGAAAGGATCCAGGATAAAGTAAAGACATAGGGCAAGAGTTGCTGGAAAATGTAGGAACTACTTTGAAGAAGGGGAAAAAAAAAGTGAACGAATCCTAGGAAGATAATTTCATTCAACCCTTAATCTCACCCCTGAAGGTTTTTGGGTTTTGCAGTCCTGGAAAAAGAACCCAGGGCCTGTGTGTGCTAGGCAAGTGCTCTGCCTCTGAGCTACATCCTCACTCCTTCTTATTTTCTGTTTTGAAATAAGGTCTAAGTTGTCAAGGCTGGAGCCTCCTGCCTTGGCCTCCTGAGTCTCCTGGCTCTTTTCATTTCTTGTAACAAAGACATTTGTCGTGGCCTTCTTGGGGCGAGAGCATTTCACACAGGTCCTTGGAATCATCCCACCACCCTGAGGATGCACAGAGGGACCCGGGTGCAGGGACCACCCTTCCGGACCAGCACAGGGCAAGGCCTCTCCTCTCTGGATTGTGCTCCGTCTTCCATGAATATCTCTAGTCCCCTCTAGTTCTCAATAACAACATGACCTTATTGGAAAGAATAAAGTGGAAGAGAAGGAATAGAATGAAAAGAAACTTCTCCAGGGAGATTGGGCTGTGCAGCTCCTAGACATGGTTCTTGGACTCATAGAGGCCCTGGAGATGCCTCAGGCCCCGTCCCATGAGTCAGCCCCACAGCCCCCTTTCCACGGGGGTCTGATCCTTATTTGTGGCCACAGTGACCTTTGTCAAGCCTTGCCCCCATTTCCATCTCTCCAGGCCACAAAGGTGGGGCACTGTCCCTCAACTCAGCCCTTCCTCTCCAGTCCTCCACCTCCCTCCCCTGGGGCCCCACAAGTACTTACTCAGCCTTCTCAAATACATCACTGTGTCCTCGTAGCCTCGGTAGTAGTAATCCTGCAGGATCTGGGGGTGGGCACCAGAAAATAGCCAAGGCTGCAGTGATGGACAGAGCCATGGTCCCCTCCCCACCAAGAGAAGCCACTTGCATTGCTCCTGAGCTTTACTTGTGGGCTCTTCAGAATGTACTCATCCAGTGTCCCATCCCTCACCATCTACAAGGAACCGAGGAGCAATTCCTGATCCTGGTCCCTAGGGATGCCGTGTTAGGGTGTCCCTCCCCTCACAGCACATCACCAGCCTCCCCTGGCAAGAAAGGGTGAGAATAATAGCCAAGCTACGGAACCAGCCTAGGTGCCCTTCAACAGATGAGTGGATTAAGAAAATATGGTGTATATACACAATGGAATATTACTCAGCCATAAAGAAGAATGAAATCATGGCATTTGCCAGTAAATAGATGAATCTGAAGACTATGAAATAAGTCTGAGGCTAAATGAGAGAATAGAAGTAATTTGGATTAGATAAAGGGGAATAAAGGGAAGGTTGGGGGATGGAAATAGGAAAGACAGTAGAATGAATCAGACAGAACTTTCCTCTGGTCATACATGAATACACGACCAGTGTAACCCACACCATGTACAACCACAGGAATGGGAAGTTATACTCCATGTATGTCTGATATGTCAAACACATTCTACAGTCATGTGTAACTAAAAAGAACAAATTTAAAAAAATTTTTTAAAGAAAGGGTGAAAAGTTTCTGGGAGATACAGAGAAGATGCCTTCAGGCCACGTGAAGAGCAGAATTTGGAGTTTGGGTTCAAGCTCCAGTGCGGCCTTTTATTGGCTGTGTGACAGGAAGCCCCTCAGAGCCTCAGTTTCTTCGTCTGTAACATGGCGACAGTCATAGCATCTATGCAGAGGATGCTGGAGGGTTGATTTCCTGAGGCTTTGCCCATCAGGGTTTTTCTAGTTAATTTCTGGGGCTTTGCTGGCTGCATGGTCTCTGCCACATGCTCTCCTTCTGTTATTATTATTCTTTTCTAAGCAGAACTTTAAAAATGGAAAATCACCCACAGCCCCGGGCTGCACAGAATCAAGGGACAGGCTGGTTTGGGCCACCTGGGCTCCGGCTTGCTGAGCCCGGCTGTGGCACCCTGATGTCAGAGCGCAGGTGGTCCCCCCATCAGGTCCCCCCATCAGGTCCCCCCATCAGGTCCCCCCATCAGTGCTGCTAACATCACGCTGCTCTGCAGGGGAGGACGCTGGGTTTGGAAGAGCTCGGGGCTGGGGCCGCCCGTGGCCAGCCCCTGGCCAGGATGCAGGCTCTTGGAGGAAGTGGGTGGCTCTTCCAGGGGAGGAGGTGGACCCTGAGTGGCCCACCCCGCAGCCGTCCCACCCCGGTCCCGCGCTCTCGCCCCAGACCCCTCCTGCCCCTCACCACCAGGTCCGGGGGGAAGAGGGCGTGGGTCATGCGGGTGATGTTCTCCAGGGAGAACTGGAAGGAGCAGTTGAACATGCGGAAGTCGTGGAAGATGGCCGGGCAGTCCCGGGGACAGATGTCCTGCTGCCCGCTGAAGGTGGAGATGGTGATGGAGTCGGTCCAGAAGGAGCAGGGCTGCATGCCCGTGAAGCCCCCGTCGATGTACCTCTGGGGGAGTGAGACACGCTGTCTGAGGCGTCGAGTCTCATCCTCCACCAGGAGGGCGCCAAGGGATTGGGACCATGGGACAGCAGGGCCAGAAGAGCCTTAGGGACAAGCCTTGAAACCAAGATGCCTGGGGCCAGTGATGTGCCCAAGGTCACTTGTGGCTACACGGTGGCCTTGGACTCCTAGCCCAGTGCTCGGACCCTGCTCACCCTCTGCTCAGTCATCTGAATGGTGCTGAGATGGGGCTCCCAGGCCTGAGAGTGGGAAGCTAGAGACCCTGCCTCCCGGCACAGCCTGGCGGTGCCCAGCCTCATGCGCCTCTCTCTGGGGCCTTCTGTTTCTATGAACTGAACAAAGCAGGACAAGGACAGAGGCTCGGACACGGGGGGGCCTGAGAAGGAGCTGTCTGCCACCTAGGGCCTTCCCTGAACCTCCCTCTCTCTAGACAGAGGAGGGCGTGGGTTGGGCCCTCAGTGCTCAGAGTTTGGCCCGTGACCCAGCAGCGCCAGGTCCCCGGGGGCAGGTTAGAGGCACAGACTCTCGGCCCTCCCCAAACACCATGGATCAGAGTCTGGCTGGTTTTATGAGATCCTCCTCCGAGGGATTTCAGAGGGTCGTGGAAGGCTCTCTGGGCACCGGCTCACAAAGCTCCAAAGATCCCCATCGCTCAAGTTCCCAGGTCCCAGAGTCCCAGGATCCGTCCGTTGAGTCTGGGAAAATCCCAAGGTCGAGCCTTGGTTTGCCGGCTCTGGACGGCTGGTGAGCCCAGACAGCAGCCGCGCCCGTCGGGGAGGCTCATCTTAAAACCCCAAAACCACCCACATGGGGAATTCAGAGGGGAGACACTTTGCAACTCGAGGCCTCCTGCTGGGCCTGGAGACCACCCCTCTGCCTTCCCAGATGTGGGTCACCCGGACCCCAAGGTACCCTGGGTCCCGCTCGTCCCTCTCAGCACTAGGAGCACTCACCACGCCGCGGTAGGTCGGGGGGATGAAGCCGCAGTACACGGGGACGAAGCAGCTGCAGTACAGGGCCTGGGGGGAGAGCAGGGCTGAGGTGCCACAGGCCCTGGAAATGGGGGGCTCACCTGGAGGCCACTGGTCAATTAGCCACCCCCAGCCCCACTTCCTTAAGCCTGGGGCGCAGGTGCCAGCCTGGGAAGCAGAACCCCAAGTTCGATTCCTGGCTTGGCCCTAACTAGCTGGGTCCTTGGTGACCTCCTTGGTCAATTGGGGCCTGATGACCCAGCCTGAAAGGGAGAGAGTGGCCTCAATATCACCAGGATCCCAGCAGATGCCAACCTTCCATGAATCCAGTGGAATTCAGTTACCATTAATCTACGTCTGCCCTGGGCCAGGCCCTGAACTCAGAGGGGTGGAAATGCTCACAGACAGGGAGGAGTAGGGAGGACACTGTCTGTGAGCATTTTCATAGGGAGGTGAGCATAGCTTTTTGGCCCCAAAGAAGGTTGCAGAGCAGGGCAGGGCAGGAGGTGATGAAGGAAAGTGCCCTTGTATGGGGAAGCAGGGCAGGCAGGCAGGAAGGAAGCCCAGACAAAGGGCAAGCAGGTGCAAAGGCCCTGGGGCCTGGTTTGGGTGTGGTCTGCTATGGTTGTCTTGGTAGGAGCAGGAGGTGGGGACAGGGAGAGAAGATCATGGCAGTAGGAGATGAAGTGGGAATTGGGCCTGAGAGGGCAGGACTAGAAGAATAGGGTGATAACCCAGGGGGACACCAGCGGTCCACTGCCTGTTCGCCCCAGGATCGGGCCAGGAAGGGGAAGTGAGGGTGCGGTAGCAAGGCCCTGATTGGGAGAAGGAAGGCCCTGAGGCATAGCCCCTTTGTCCTGAAAGAAAATTGGGCATATTCGCTGCACAGCCCAGCAATAGTGATTCATAACTAAAATCTGAATTGGTGAGCTCAGCGCAGTGGCTGTCGGGGTGCGTGTGCACTTTGCAAGTGAGAACCCGGCAGTGATGACCTCCTGCCACGTGATAGTGCAGGGGGACACGGAGGGAAGCTCTGCCTGACCGTTTCCACAAACTGGGGGTAATTCAGGAGGAGCAGCCACCAGGCCGGGTGTCCTGAAGGAGCTCAGGATTAGCCCAGACGGCTGGGCGCGCAGCGGCGAGGACGGCGGAGCCCCCCGGGACGTGGGAGTCAAGCACAGGGCCACCTGGCTGGCCTTAGGTCTCTCTGTGTCCGTCTAACGAGGCTCCTGGCAGAGGAGATGCCAGACGGGCAGGACAGGGAGGACCGGGGAGGTGGGAGGAGAAGGAAGGAAGGAAGTCGGGGGTCACCCGGGCTGTGCAGAGCCGGGCGGCCTCCTCCACCCGACGTGGCGTCCTAAGTCCCGGGCCTTGCCTCGATGAGCTCCTCCTTGGACGTGTACTCGGAGACCACCACGCTCTCTCCGTCCGTGAAGCGGGTGAGGCCCACGTGGAGCTTCCCGGAGGCGAACTTGTAGGAGTCCTCGGGCAGGACCTGGTACAGGAACTGCCGCATCATCTGCACCATCTTGCAGGATGGGGACAAAGGCCCCAGGAAGAACCTCTTCACCTCGGCCAGACCCTTGTTCAGGAACCTGAGGTACACTTCTGTGGAGGAAGCAGAGGAGAGGGGGCGGCTTCACCCAGGGCCTGTGGCCAGCGGCCAGGAGAGGTCTTGAGTGACCTCTGATAATGTGAGAGCCTAGAACAGAGAAGGCCAGAGCTCTCAGGAATGGGCCACTGTGCGTGTGAGCAAAGCCCCTGGACCCAGAGAGCCCAAGGCTAGGCTGTGACAGAGACAGACCCACACTTCCAGCTCTCTGACGGGGATCGGCTATGGTTGGCTTGGTAGGAGCAGGAGGTGGGGAGATCATGGCAGTAGAGGATGCCAGAAACCTTCCAATCAGAGGCTGCGTTCTCTCACACTCTCTCAACTTAGAATCAGGGTGGAAATAGCTCTGAAAAGGATTGCTAAATTTTTTAAACAAGTTATTTTTTTTTGGGGGGGGGGATGACAAGGGTGGTGGTGCTGGGGATTGAACCCGGGGCCTCAAAGGGCCCTGTGCATGATCAATATGTGCAATAAGCCAAAGTGCCAGACCTTCAACAAATATTTGATGGTAAGATGGCCTCCACGGAAGACCTTTCTTAAAGTTAATGTCATGTAATAGCTACTTGGGGAGCTGTGCGGTTGTGAGCTCTCTGTCACAAGAGGTAACAAAGCAAAGGTTGGATAAGCACCTCTGTCGGAGAGCTTATTGAAAGGCTTCCTGCATGGGCAGAGGGCGAGGAGTCCTTCCAACTTTGAGATTCTCAAGGCACCTTGCAACATGTCTCCAGGAAGTCCCCACAGTATGTCTTAGTCTCCTGTTCCTCCATAGAGCAGCTGAGCCAGAGGGGTTAAGTGAGTTGCCCTAGGTCAGACCCAGCCGTGGGAACAAACCGAACAGGGATGCTTCTCCTCTCATGATTTCCAATTCACAGCTTATTCCGCGCCAGTCCTGGGGGTGGGCAAGGTCAGACGCTGCAAGACCGTTTTATAGATGTGGAAACAGAAGCAGAGAAAAGCTAAGTGTCTTGCGGGAGGCCAGACACCAGGCAGTAGTTTTTCTGACTCCAAAACCCAGTCTTTGCAAACCCCCTGGGTTCTGGACTGATCCCAGGGATGGAGAGGCTGGGGGGAGCCTGGGTTGCCATGGTGACGCCCTTCTCTTGCCAGCGTTCAGCATCGCACCTGCATCTGTGTGGTAGGGACGGACCTGAGCAAGCAACCCACATCGCAGCCATCACCAGGGACAGCGCTCCCGGGAGGTGGGGAGCCCTGCAGTGCCAGCTGGCTCAGCGGCAGTGTTTCCCCCCAGGGAGGGTGTCGCTGACTCAGGGGCAGGTTATGAAGCAGGTTTGGACACCAAGCTGTTGGGTCACTGAGATCTCTCCTGCAAGACCGGTTGGGATAGGGAGTCAAACCAGGATGGGGACACTGTTTTGGGGATTCTTAATGAGCGTCTACCACCTTGCAAAGGTCAATGACCTTTCCCAGTGCCTGGGGCCAGGAACCCTGATTCAGCCGTGCCTGGCTTCTGGCAGAGGCACAGAGGCACCGCTGGGATGGTTGAAATGATATTTGTTCTTGACACACAGATCAGACCTGCTCATGGTGGAAAAAATAATTTTAGAAAATGTAGATAAGCAAAACAAAACAAAAAAAAAAAACACCAAAATGTCTTAGAATTCCTCCACTCAGAGATTACCACTTGGCCTCTCTTCTTAGACTCTCGATTTTATTTTTATTCTAACTTATAGGAAGCCATGCTATGTCCACTATTTATGATTTGCTTTTTCCAACCAATATATTGTGTTTTTTCCCAGTCAATAAATATCTACTTATAATGTAATTTTAAAAACAGTGTGGAAAGCTTTATAAGATTATACCAGTATTTATTGAGCAGGTCCCCTACAGGGGGTTTGGCTAATTAGTTTGTTTCCTTTTTTCTTGGCTTTTTGACCTTTCTAAATAATGCCGTGATGAACAATCTCAACCTAAATTCTTTGCCCAAGTCCTTAATTGTTTTCCTGAGGATGAATTCCTAGAATGCTGGGTCAAAGGTATGCATTTTTAATACCTTGCAAGGCTTATTCAATTGTGGCTTAGTATATTATTCATTTCCTGTCAACTCTCAGCTATTCAGGGGTGGGGGCAGGTGACAGGGAGCAGCCAAGACAATGGAAACAGTACTGACGTTCCCAAAGAACTTATGTCTGAAAATGGTCCAACCTGGAAATTAGCAATGCCACAGCCCGAGTCAGGTGGCCAAGGGGGGACAGAGAGGCAAGATGTCTGATTCTCCCAGTCTGGGGCTCGGCTTCAAATTCTTTCTTGCTGTTTACTTGAGCCACGAACCAAAGGACACCTTTCTCTCTGCATCTTTGTGCTTCTCTCCAAGTCTCTGTCTCAATCTTTGGAGTCTCTGACTGTATCCCCTGGGTCTCTCTCTCTCTCTCTCTCCTCTCTCTTCTACTCCTTCCTTTCCCCCTCTCTTTTCCCCCCTGGGGGAGAAATAACGAAATCTTCTGGTCAGACAGTTCTCCATTGGTAGAAAGCAAGTGTTCAGCACAGTAACTGCTGGGTTCTGAGAGGAGGGATAAATTTAGCTCACTTCTCTATGCATCTGTGTGCTTTCCAGAACCTTCTCCCACTTAAAAATGCCTCCTTCCAAGCTGCAGGCTTCCGGGCTGTGGGATGCAGGGACCCACAGTGACCACAGCAAGGTGTCATTCAAAAGTAGCATCCCTGGCCTGATATGTCCTGGTCAGGAAACTCAAGATTGGCTGCTCACAGCCCCAGCCCACACTAGTCACGTCCATTTCTGCTCAGAGGAGATACTCCCTCTCTTCTCAATGGCCGCCACTGTGCTTTGCCCATAGAAACCTTCCCTCCAGGCTGGGAATCCCCCAGGGGCCATGCTGTCTGTGCCACCCAGTGTCCTGGGACATTTTATGGGTGCTCAGTGTGTGAACAGAGGAAAAACAACACCTAAGGGTGACAGAGATGTTCCCAGGGAAGAGATACTTGACTTAATCACCCAATAAAAGCTTGGAGCAAGGTCATCCCTGATAGATGGATAAGCAACAGAATTAACTAAATAGATCCGTGTGACCGACTCACCAGGTTTTATGAGTCTATTGTGCCAAGAAACTTCAATGGAAAAATAAGGAAAGAAGATGCGGGGCAGGGAGATTTGCAAGGGCACTTGGGTTTCAACCACTCGGGAAGTTTCATGCTTTTCTGTGACCACATCTATTTCTTGGAAAGAGCTCAGGCAGATTTGGTTCCAATCCCAGCTTCGCCACATGCTATCTGGGTTAAACAATTTTATTCAACCTCAATTTTGCTTTCAGTAAAATGGGGGATAAGGATCCCCACTTTACTGGGTGATGAGGCAGACAGTTTTTAGTAAGTATTCAATATTGATTAGGCCAGTGATTCCCCAAATGGCCATGGACCAGCCTGCTGGATGTTTCTGACTCTGGACCGTCTAGTCCCAGTCCCAGAGGGGGTGCTTCGTCAGAGCAGCCCAGCCGCATTGGCTGCACCTCCTGTTCTGTCAACCTGGGGGACTAGTGTACAGGCTTGCTATGGGAAGCGAGGGCTAGAAAAATCAATGAAAGGAAAGAAAAAGGATAGGAATAATCTGGTATGTGTTTATCTTCTTTAAATGTGCAATGCTTCTCTTCTCTACAAGGGCAAGAATGGGCTCGGTCTGGTCACCCTCTTATCCCCAGCATTCCTGGGACATAGATAGTCACTTAATAAACACAGATGTATGCACGAATAGGGAATAAATAAATGTCAGCAATCGAAGGACCCTGAGGCCCGGAAAGAGAAGTAACTATTCGAGATGAGTTAGAAGGTAAAAACCGAGGGCTTCTCTTCCCCGCCTCCACACGGCCTGGCCTCCTGCTAATTGAAAAATCCTAGAAAGTCTGGCATTTAGAGTCTGGCAATTTAAGCTGCTGGGTATCCCGTTCCCAGGGCCCGAATTAGGTCTGCTGGGCGGGATGGATCTGCGGTGGAGGATGGGGCTGCAGGGCCCCAGGTCTAGGTCTCGGCGGACTGGTAACCTAGCAACAGCCTCCAGCTCATCCAATCACCGCAAGGCACCACGCCACCGGCTCGCTTGCTCCCCCCACCCTCTGCATACACCCCCACCCCCGATAGCAGCGCCAGTGATGCACGCAGGGGAGGTCCGGGCCCAGCAGCCCCACGGGAAGGTGCCTGTGAGCATAGCATTCCCAGGAAAGCCCTGGAAATTCTCAGAATCCCTGCATGGAGAACCTGGGAGGCTGCGGTTCCTACCTGTTCCCAAATTGCAGGCTGAATTCTCGTCTGCATTTTCCTGTGGGTATATCTTGACTACCCGTCTCCTCTATAATAATAATTATTATTAATATCCTCACAACAGTGGTTTTCCCAAGCAGGCTTTCACATTTATAATCTGTTTATCCTCACAGTGACATCTAGCCCCTGAGGGGCAGTGACCTCAGTTTATTCACATTTTATTTCTACCTGACACTGTAGAGGCATGGATTTAAAAACAGTTTGGCTTAAAGCTACAGTGTCACTACTGGAAGGTTCATAGCACCTTCTGGGCAGCAAGTAGTCAGGGAGCCCTTTGTTCAAAGAGATCTAAAATGGAAACCCAATATATAGAACACCTGGGCACATGACTTCAGGGGTGAAGCTAGCTGGGGTCCTACACCCTGTCCCATCGCCCCCCTCGCCTCCTTTGGAAGTCCCTCAAAGGCCAATAATTTTAAGAAGCAAGGTCAAAACTACTAATCCAGACTATTTCTCTCATTTTACAGGTGGGAAATCCAGCCCAGAATGAAGGTTGAGTTCAATAAATATTGGATGGATGGATGGATGGAGGATGGAGAGACCCTAGATTACACAGTCTATGTTGGCAGAAGCAGAACTAGAATTTATGTGTGAAAACTAACATTCTCCTGTTCTGTTCTGAATGCACCATAGGCTTTAGTCAAAAGTAAAACAGCTCTGACCTGTTTAGTACTTACAACAAAACGAAATCAAAGCAATACTTTTTGTGTGTCTGTGGATAGCAACAATCCTCCACACAGACCTGACTGAGGAATTGAGCTTAAAAACTTGGATTATTCTCCTGTCAGGTTGCGGTGGGAACAGGAGCTCCTCTGGCAGGTTCACCTCCTGGGTTTCCAGCAACCTGTCTCCAGGCCTCTTCCCTACCTCAGGTTCCACCCTGTCCCAGGGAGCCTCCTCCTCAGAATCCAGGCACAACCTCCCCACATTCGTTGCACGGGGTCTTAATGATCACTCCAAAGCGAACCAGCTAGACAGGGAGTGTGTCTAGAAAGTTCTCTGGGAATTCATGATATTCTTAGGGCCACTGCCCCTCTTATTTTCTCCTGGTTTTGGTTGGTGGGCCCAGAAGTCCATCTGGGCCCAGATTCTCCCCGGACTCCTGAGGGGACACTGGCACGAAGCAACAGCTGAGAACACGTCACCCGCCTACTCTTGGCATTCCTTGGTCTCGTGTGTGCAATCAGGGACCTGCAGGTGAACCTTTGCCATGCAAGACATCAACTCCCAGCACCTCCTCATCCGGGAGTCTCTCTAATCAGGTGCCACTGCCAAGATAGGCCCAGGCCTCCCTGCGGAACTAGGGTTCCGCCTCTCCCACAGCTATGAGAATTAGGGCTCATTTTTTGCTGATGGGAGTGATTGACAGCCACAGCTGCCTGAAGCTTCTGTTGGGGGGATCTGCTGCCCATCTTTCAGCCCTCATGAAACCACGGGCCTTGGTCCTACCTCGGCTGCTCGCTGCTCTCAAGGGCTCCCCTTTTTGGTACCTCCTTGGTGCCTGCCACTGTGCCAGGCTCTGGGGCCTCATCACCCCATTGAATCCTCATGACACTCCTTTCAGGTAGTACTGCAGTTACCTCATCTTCACAGATGAGGAAACCGAGGCTCAGCTGATCACCTGCCCAAGATTATGCAATGGGAAAGCTGCAGAGCTGGCCTCCATGTCCCGAGGGCCCCAGAGCCAACGCTGTTCCCATGATGGTGGGCTTCGGCCGCCAGGGACACTCCCTTCATCCCCCAGAGCCTCCCGTTCCCACTGTGAGGTGACGGCCCCTGGGGAGCTGCTCTTCCAGGGTTTGGTAGGGTCACCTCCTTAGACTACAGTGGTCCTGGAACCTCTCACTAGAGCACCAACCAGAACCCAAATCCCATCTCCTCACAGGGGCTCCTCAGGCTTAAGGCCCTTTCCCAGCTCAGGTCAGTGTCTTCTCTGATCAGAAAGCACTTTGTGCAAAATCCCTGCCCCACTACTTTTATTTTTTTTTTTTTTTGCCATCTCTCAGACCTTAACCTCAGCCCAGCTTGAGATCGGCCTCTTCCATAAAGCCTTCCCTGGTCTCCCCACTCTTGGCTCTCTCCACTTCCCCTGGACAATTCATCTGGTGCTTGTGATTTGCACAGTTTATCTCAGGCTGTCCTGAGCCGGGGGGAGGGGGCTCCGGAAAGCCACTTGGCCAGGGTCCAGTGGGGCAAACCACAGAGCCCTTCGTCCATCAAGCCTGCTTCTAACTCTTGCCCCACGTGAATGGACATAGACCCTGCGTTGGGCTGGGAAGTGGAGGTTTCCTTATGTGGCAGAGTCAGGAGGACGGCATTGGGTCCCTCTCAGGACCCAGGAGTGAAAACATAATTGCCACAGCAACCCAAGAAGTCTGGAAGTTTCTTTACCACTTGTGTTTTGCCCACAGAATAGGAAACGAAGCTCAACTATCTTTTCAGATTTGATCCCAAAGTGAAGCAAAGAAAACAATTTTTTAAAATATTTATTTTTTAGGTGTAGATGGACACAACACAATGCCTTTATTTTTAATGTGCTGCTGAGGATCAAAACCAGGGCCCCACGCTTGCTAGGCAAGCGCTCTACTGCTGAGCCACAACCCCAGCCCCAGAAAACAATTTTATTATAATACTAAGTGCACTGGTTTAAAAATGAATGCACTAAATGCAGTATGGGGTCCTGGGTTAGGTCCAGGGAAAAAGAAAGGCTGTTGGTAGAAAAACAGGTGAAATTCTAATAAAATCTGCAGAATAGTTAATAGTAATGGACCAGCACTGGAGTCTTGGTGTTGACAGGTGTACTGTGATTATTTCAGGTGTGAACTCAGGGAAACTAGGTGTAGAACATACAGAAGTCTGCATCCTTACTTAACTTTTCTGTAAATCCAACATTATTTCAAAATAAAAAGTTAATTGCTATGGGCTGGGGCTGGGGCTCAGTGGTAGAGCGCTTGCCTGGCATGTGTGAGGCACTGGGTTCAATTCTCAGCACCACATATAAATAAATAAAGGCTCATCGACAACTAATATATATGTATATATACACAGATATATAAAAGTTAATTGCTATTAAATTTTCAAAAACCACAGATAACAAGCAAGGCTGTTATACACACAGTGCCTGGTGCTCAGAGGCTCATGCTAGGAGCGTCTGTGCCCTAGGGAGGTGCTTTCCAAATGGATGTTCCTCCTGTGTGATCGACATACGCAGAGCTTTGCCAGGTCTTCCATCCAAGTCCTAATACATACAAAGGATTATTTGGGGGAAATACACCTTTATCCATTTGGTTGGAGAGATTTAAATGTATAAATGTATAAATGAGTGAGTTGGAAGACACTGAACCCAGTGTAGTTATAACCACACAGTGACACCATCTCTATAGCATTTTATAAAAAGCCCTTGTTGTATTTGTCATGCCACTTTAGTTCACTTTCTTGACCAATGTGTAAAGGAGTGCTTGACCTCTGGAGTTTAGCAAGAAAGCAATCATGGGGCTGGGGCTGGGGCTCAGTGGTGGAGCACTAGCCTCGAAAGTGTGGGGCACTGGGTTTGATCCTCAGCACCACATAAAAACAAATAAAGATATTTTGTCTATCTAATATATATATATATATATATATATATATATATATATATATATATGACAAAATAAAGCAATCATGTTGCTTAACAAAGCAACTTCTGAAATCGTGATTAGAGAGGATGTAAACCCTAGGAATTTAGAGGAATTCCCAGGGCTGCCTCTGTGGTATCAACCTGAGAAGATGATTTAATCTCTCTAATCCCTATTTCCTCATTTGTAAAATGATTGTAAATGTGGTACCTGCTTAATAAGGTTGTGAGGGAATTAAAATAAATGGTGCGTTAAAGCAGTTAGCACAGTACCCGGCACATTCTAAGTGCTGGAGGTTCTAAATACTTGGTAATAGCTATTATTACCATGACGGTAGAATGTGAATGGGAACAGAATATCTTTTTTGCAGGAAAACACTGCCATCTCAGGCAGATAAATAACTCTGGCTCTGGGGATGATTTTTAATGAAGACATTTTGATTCTGAAAGTGTACTCAGCAGCCAGGACTGAAATCCAAGTTACATCTGGGACACACACACACACACACACACACACACACACTCAACAGGAATAAATGGAGGTTCTCATTCATGTCTTAAAGAACACTGGAGAGACTTTCAGCCTCAGCAATATGGTGGGCTGAGCTAAAAGGAACCTCCGCAGCTTCTGGGAAAACAGCTTAAAGCTCAGATTAAAATAAAGTGCAAATAAAATTGCAAGTCATGGTTGAACTCATAAAGAAAGGAAAGAAATGAAGACGGACCAGACAGCTGGTGCCAAGAGAAGGAATGACGTGCCTGGTGACTATGGGGCTATGATCGGACCAGAAACTGGCAGGGCCGGACCATTGGTTGGAAGCTGGGTCAGAGGGGTGGGGTCCAACAGACCTCTGCTTGGACCTGCCCACACTGCTGGACCACTGAAAGGCACCAGTGGCTTTGGGTGAAAAACCAGTCAACCCCCCAAAACGGAACCCCCCAAAGCTGCATGCCAGCATTACATGGAGTTTAGAACTTAAACTAATAACAACCTCCGAAGGAATTAACTGGAAACTTGGTCCCAAATTGGTGATGACCCTGGGGTGCCCCGCCTAGGCCCACACAAGCCAGCTCTGATCCAGCCTTCCACCGCTCAGGCCACACAGAATTCCTACAGAAAACCCAACTCCTCTAGCAGATGAGCTCACTGTTGCAATCAGAAACGCATTAATTGGGCCCAGGTTGGATTCTAGTCGTGTTGGTTTGTTTTAATGTGTTTAATAGATTTTCTAGGATATGGTTCAGTTCAGTTTGAAAATGTTCTTTACCTGTGCTTTGATTTCAAGATAATCGTCTCTCCACTTTCTGACCCGTGAACTCAACATCTGGGTGTCTAAAGCCTATTGTGACTTATTTTGTGACTGATATTGGCCTGGCACGGCACCAGGGGTGCCCATTTTTTGTCCCTCACTGAAATGTCTGAGTTATCAATGGGTAAACAGAAGGTGAGGCGGGTCACTGGCCACTCAGGGACCTTGGGCACTCGGTGGCAGGGCCAGAACTCCAGCCCTGCCCTCTCCCTTCCTGAGAATTGGGTTCTCCATCAGACCTGACGGTGTCTCATTCTCCAACTGAGTGATAAAGACAGGCACGTGGATGACCAGGGAGAGGAATGACCAAAGCCAAGGTCCTCAAGAGTCACCTGGTCTTCCCAGCACCCTCCCTGGAGGCCCACTGGATGCACTGCCCAGCGTGTACCTGAGCCACCAGCCATTGACAGTAACTTCAGCCACACTTGGCTCCAGGCCCCGGGAGGCCTAGGATGCCAGGAGCTGCCTGGGCAGCACCGGAGCCAGGTTGGGGGCTGGTTAAGACCTTTGCCGTGTCCTCTGCCTCCAGGGAAGGAGTCGTGCTGGGTCCTGTGGGGCCCCCATTGCCCCTGACTTTGCAAGGCCCATTTGAAGCCTGTTTGCTGTCCAGAAGAAGGAGCTGGCTTCCTGAGAAGGCAAGCAGGTTTATTTGTGTGGCCGGCAGCGAGGGCACCTGCTGGCCTCAGCCTGGAACTCTCTTCCCTCCACCCACCTCCCAGAGGCCGACCCCGACCAGCCCACCTGAAACTGCACCCGGCATCACCTCCCACTGTCACCCTGCCTGGTGTCTCCCTAGCACCCCCCCCCGGCCTTCTGTGTGTTTAGTTGTCTGTGGCTTGATTTCACCTACAGAAGGTCAGCCTCCTGAGGGCAGGAACCACCTGTTCTGCTCAGGGCTGGATCCCTAGAGTGAATGGATGAATGGCCCATTTCATCACAGCCAGATAGACAGAAACCGACCCCCAGCCTCTGTGCACCTTAAAGGGATTAGGGCTCAGAAAGTGGTGCTTTGGGTTTACTGTTCCCCTCAAAATTCATGTGTCAGAACCTTATTTCCTCAATGCAGCAGGGTTGGGAGGTGGAGCCTAGTGGGAGATGTGTGCGTCACGGGGGTGGAGCCCTTATGAATGGATTAATGTCTTTATTGAGGGAATGGGTTAGCTATCTATCTGCAGAGTTCAGTCTCTTTTTCTCTCACACACTCCACTTCCCACCATAAGTTGAAGCAATACAAGGCCCTTACCAGAAGCCAAGCAAATGTTGGTGCCATGCTGTTAGACTTCTAGAACCATGAGCCCAAATAAACCTCTCTTCTTTATAAATTACTCAGTCTCAAGTGTTCTCACACAGTGTCTAAAACCTGACCGAAACAAATGGTTTTCAAACTTTAAAAAAAAAAAAAAAAGCTAAAAGATTTTCTTTAAATTAATTTAGAAAGAGACTCCATGTATGAGATAGACAATAGCAGGTCTATATTAAGTTGAAGCCAGGGCTTCAGGTGTGTCCTCCTCCTGATTTTCTTCCCCATGCACAGAACTCTGGTACTTCTTGGAATAACAGTTTGAAAACTATTGACCTAAGTGAGGTCCATTTCCATCTAGTCACTTCCTCTACCAGAATCTAAATACAATCACCTGAAAAACGAGGGAATCAGATCCATGGGCCTTCCTTCTTCAACATCCTAGGGTTATATGTCACATCTATAACTGAAGAATATTCTCCAAGAGCCAGGCAAACCCCAAAATAGGAATCAGAGCGATGCATTCACTGTCACCGCCAACAGACAGCAATCAAGCAGGTCTTGTTCTACGGGCAGCACGTGGGAGCCATGGGGCCCAGCAGATGTGACTGACCAACCCTTCATCTAGTTGATGAAACGAGACAGAACATTTGAAGCAATCAGAACAGGACAGCAGCCAGTGCTGGGGATACGTGGACGGATTCTGTGGGCAAACTGGACATCACAGCAACGAGAGAAGGAGCCGGGTGAGGTGGGTGATGTCAGCCCCCGCTGGCCCACAGACTGACTTGATCCTGTGGTCGTGAGTCACAGTCTTGGCCCCAGGAAGGGGACAGAGTGTCTCCATCATTTTAGATGACCAGTTATGGTTTGTGACAGAGACTGCTAGCTGTCCCCAATGTTCATTCTCCCCGCCTTTCAATGAACCCCCAATGGCTGGCTGGACTCGTGGCTTTCCAAAGCGACATCTGCATTCCCAGCCTCCTGTGCAGTCAGGTAGGGCCTGTGACTAAGCTTTGGTCCCTGGGATGTGGGCCGCCAGGATGCGCATCATCTCTGAGTCCTGCCCAGGGAGGGAAGGGGTGTGCCCTGTGTGCCCTCCCTTTCCCCTTTCTGACTGCTGGAATGAGGACATGGCCCTCTGGGACCCCAGGAAGAGGCCACACCTGTGAGCAAGGTGATGGGAGGGGACTGGGTCCTGACACTGCACAGCGGCCACACCAGCTGTGGGGGGCTGAGGACAAAGTCTCCAGGGCCAAGAGCCCCCCTCTGTCTTGGTGAAGCCTCTGTGGACCCAACTAAGGCAGTTGACCATCAGCCCCTCAGGTTTGATGCCGAGAGCTTCTGCAGCCCAAACCTGGGGGCACCACTGCCTCCCAGAGGGAGGCTGTGGGAGGGGAGGCTAAGTTGAGGATGGTGGAGGCCGAGGGGTTCCTGGAACCAGAGGGGGAAGAAGGGGTGCAGGGAGCGTGGCTTCTGGGGCCAGGCCACCATAGGTTGGAACCCTAACACCCTCATTGCTAAACTCCCCCAAGAAGCCCTCGTGAGAGTGATGTGCGTGGCCAGTCGGGCACAAGATCCAACTGCAGGAAAATTCTGTAGCTTTTGTTCTCAGAATCCAGAGAGCTGTCCTGAGGTCTGCGCCCTTCTGGTCTTTGGGGCAAAGACCGGCCACCCTACAGCAGATGGATTAAGGGCCTGATGGCAATTGGGAGGGCCTGAGAGGAGGGGACACGGGAGGGGGGCCTTGAGGATAGAGAGAAGGAGCCAAGACAGAGGAGTGAGGGGATGAGACCTCTAGAAGAGGGGACAGCGTGCACAAAGACACGGGGACACATCTTGCCCTTCTTCTGGACCTAGAGAAGGTTCAGAGGAGAAATGGCTGGGTTGTGAGAGTCTCAATCCGGTCAGTGGATTCAACCCCCCACGGGATTAACTGGGCGGTGACTGAGGGCTGGTCGGGTGTGGCAGCAGAGGTGGGTCCCTGGGGTCGCGCCTCCGGCATATGTATTTTGTATCTGGTGAGGGGAGTCTCTCCCTGCTGCCTGGTCATCACGTGAGCCACTTCCCTCCCCCACACTCTTCCGCCATGATGTTCTGCCTCACCTGAGCCCTGAGGAATGGAGCCGGCTGCCTATGGACTGAGACCTCTGAAGCTGTGAGCCCCAAATAAACTTTTCCTCTTCTACAGTTGTGTTTGTCATGTTTTTTTAGTCACATAGCAAAAAACTGACTAAAACTCAGCTCAGTCCTGCCCTCCCCTCCCCCAGCAGGGGACCAGTCACTGCACAGCTGCCTGCGCTGCTCAACTGTGTGCTGCATCCACACCAACCAACCTGTGCCCCCCCGGGGCCACTCTGCAGGCACACCCCTTTATCTATAGAGAGAGAAATGAAAGCTCTGCAGAAGCAAAGCCAAGAGAAGGTACATGCAACTTCTTTGTGAGTTTTAGGTTTTTAGATTTCCAAATAAAAATGATCTAAAAACCTCTCTACTAAAACAAAGCAATGTTGGGTACATAGAGATGACATTTGGTTTTTCAATATAGTCAACTGTGATAAAGGACATAGAGGTTTGTTATATTGTTCTGTGCAATATGTTTAAAAATTTTCCATATTAAAAATTTAAAAATGGACATGAATGTTCACAGAAGCATTGTTCATTATAGCTAAAAGTAAAAACAAAGCAAATGTCCATCATCTAATGAAAGGATACATAAATGTGGTATGTCCATTCAATGGAATATTACTCAGTCATGAGGAGGATTAAAACACTGACCCCTGCTACGACCCGATGAACCTTGAAAACATTATGCTAAGTCAAAGAAGCCAGAAACAAGACCACATATTATATGACTCCCTTTATAATATATGTCCAGAGTAGGTAAACCTGAAGAGACAGAAAGTAGATGAGTGGCTGCCAGAGACTTGGGGGAATGGAGGAGTTAAGAGGTGACAGCTAAAGAACATTTCTTTTGGGGATAACTTAAATGGTCTAAGATGGATTGTAGTCGTGATTTCACAACTTTGTGAATATGTGAAAAATCACTGTGCTATATATTTTAAAGGGGTGAATTGGATGGTATGTGAATTATATTTCATTCAAATTATTTTTTAAAGTGGTGGGGGAAGGGGAGAGAAAGAGAAACAGCCACAGGAGCCTCTGTACCACACGACTCCACAGTTTCTCAAAGCGGGCTGTGTGGGGATGGGCTAAGGGGACTTGGAGGCCAGCCATTGGGCCTGCTCACCTAGAGGACCTCTCAGAAACCCATCCAACCCAACGCTGCTATAGAGAAGCTGTTTTTCTCGACCCTGAAAAAACCCACTTCCCATTAATAATCAGATCCAGAGACGTGGCTGGTCCAGTATGTGATGGGTTGTTCCATGAGAGGCCCCACCGGCTCACCTCCACCGCCTGCTCAGACTCACGGAACCTCGCCCAGTGAGAGAGCTTGGCTTTCCAAAAAGGACTTGGTCTCCCCCTTGACCGCACATGGGCACCACCTGGGGAGCCTTCGTAGCCAGGGATGCCGGTGCTGCCCCAGATTACTTAGTGAGGGGAGACCCTGGCAGTGGAGGTGATTCTATGTGCAGTCAAGATGGAGAAGCATCGGGCTGGGGCTCAGCGGCAAAGCGCTGGCCTAGCATGTGGGAGGCCCTGGGTTCGATCCTCAGCACCACATAAAAATAAATAAATAGAATAAAGATATCGTGTCCATCTACAACTAAGAACTATTTTTAAAAATCTCTAGGAGAAGAAGAAATAAAAGATTGAGAAGCAACAATATAGGGTCCTGATGAACAGTTTTCCATTGAATGTCAGTGTCAAAATGAAAAGAATGTCAAAATTGTGACCCAGAGTATGCTGACTATCCTGTCATGACGGCTCCGTTTAGACTTATGTTTACTCAGTCACAATATAAGCAAGGCTTTGTCACTGTGGGTTTCAGGCCATGAGCTGGAGACCTCGGGTACCTGGAGCAGTGGCAGGGGGCCTTGCAGCCTGCTCGGGCCTCTCCGGGGCGTGGCTCTCTTTCTGGAGGCTTTCCCACCTGGGGCAGCCGTCCCTGGGCCCAAGCCCACCTCCCTGAAACCCCAACTTCAGCTGACCTGCTCTGTCCCCCACGCAGTAACACCATGCTGCCGCACAGAATGGCTTTGTCATGTTGTCCTGCCGCGTTCTTGCTCAGAGGCCTGGGTTCCTGCCCAACCTGCCTCTACCTGTCTAGCTTCCACTCACCCTCCATCACTAGCTCATCAGTTAATTCCAGGCGGCTTTCCATGACTGGAGGTGTTTGCTTATTGCTTTGCCTTTTAATTTTCTAATATCCAGTTGGAACTTTGTTGTGTGTGTGTGTGGGGGGGGGGGCTTATTTGGTGGCTGCCTTCAAGTTCCAGTAGACTGTCATCGCCTTGAGGGCAAAGCAGTTTCTTTTGGTTTGACATCTTTGCATCCTTGGCAGGACCTAGTATATGCTCAACTATCACTGTGGAAAGAAGGGAGGGAGAGAGCAAGGTCTTGCCATGCGATTTATATGGGAAGAAATGTACAAGCAGTAGCTTAAATAAGAATGGGATTTCAAGTCTACCGAATATCTATTCTTCAGTAAGAAAAAAGTTATTTTTCAAAATGATACAAGTTGTATTTTGGAAAAATACAAGTTGGAGATATTTTTTTAATTCTAGTTCAGATTGGAAATTTTGGAAGCCCACTAGTTGTCATGGAGACCACCATGTTAATCAGGTGGTCATCAGGTTAATGAATGAATGAATGGACATTTGCTGCATCTCTGGTGAAAACCAGGCATGAACTGAAATCGAATTCCAAGCATGTATGGTTTTGTCAGGATGAACTCAACTATTATGTACGACTACACTGCTCTAATGTAAAAAAGAAAGAGGGCTGGGGTTGTGGCTCAGCGGTAGAGCTCTCCCCTAGCACATGCAAGGCACTGAGTTTGATCCTCAGCACCACATAAAAATAAATAAATAAAATAAAGGTATAAAGAAAAAATAAAGAAAAGAAAACCAGGCACTGTGTTAAGCACTTTACCAAGGGTTTCAAGCCTCCAAATCAGCCCTGTCACAGAACCGGCCAGTCAGGAGTTGGACCCTTCACTGAGTCAGCTTTCACAGGGACAAACAGCCTCAGGACAGAAGAGCTCAGTCTGGGAACAAAGGACAGAGATGTGTCCTTGAGGGGATAGTCCCTGGAACCAGGAGTTTAAGAATTTTGTTAAAAAAAAAAAGAGACTAAGAGCCAGATGTGGTGGTGTAGGCCTGTAATCCCAGCGACTCTGAAGGCTGAGACAGGAGGATCGTGAGTTCAAAGCCAGCCTCAGCAAAAGCAAGGCGCTAATCAACTCAATGAGACCCTGTCTATAATAACATACAAGTAGGGCTGGGGATGTGGCTCAGAGGTCGAGTGTCCCTGGACTAAATCCCCAGTACCAGAGAGAGAGAGAGAGACACTAAGGGGCTAGGGTTGTGGCTCAGTGGCAGAGCACTTGCCTAGCATGTATGAGGCACTGAGTTCTATCCTCAGCACCACAGAAAGAAAGAGAGAGAGACACTAACTCTGGTTACAGGCATATAGCATTACTACTTATGCATAAAATACCAGATGATCTACTGACAAACTTTCAGAACTCTCGGGAGTGTTCAACAAGGTCCCTCAAAACAAGATCAGTATGCAAAACCCGTCAACCTTCCTTTTATCAGTGATAGTCCATTAGCTCTGAAAATGCCTCAGAAAAAAAAAACTCGTGGCAACAAAAACTATAAGACCCTCAGAAACAAATCCAATAAAAGACACAAAATCTTTACTGAAGGACAAAAAGACCAGAATAGAGAGACAGATTCTATTTATAAATAGGAAGAAGCACTTTCAATCAAGATCCCAGCAGAGTGTTTCTCAGGGTAGGACAAGAATAATAGAGGAAGCTGGGCACGGTGGCGCACGCCTGAGATCCCAGCACTCTGGAGGCTGAGGCGGGAGGATCACAAGTTCAAAGCCAGCCTCGCAACTTAGTGAGACCCTGTCTCAAAATAAAAATAAGACTGGGGATGTGGCTCAGTGGTTAAAGCAACCCTGGGTTCAATCCCTGGTGCCAAAAAGAAAAAAAAAGAATGAAGGCAATATTTGCAAAATAAAGAAGAAGGAATAGGAAGGGCTTGCCATATGAGATGTGTCCTTATTATACAGCTATGATGTTTAACACAGTGTCATTTGGTCCAGAAATTAGGCCACTTAGACAAAGAAACTTTGAGAGACTCCAAGGACAGTCTCATAGGAATGCAGGCACTTGAACACACCTAAGGCAGTGTTCTAAGTGAGCAGCAAAGTAAGGAATTGGGTCTTTCCCTCATCCTACATACAAAATAAACTCCAGATGGATGAACCTAAATAGGAAAGACTTAAAATTTTTGAAAGACAACGTAGAAGCAACCATGTAATGAAGGTTAAAAAATACAAACTGTAAGAGGAAAAGCTGTGTCCATTTGACTTTGTGAAAATTTCCTGAGTGACAAAATATAGCACAAAGAAAATGGCAAGCCTCATAGTAGGGAATCTAGGTGCAAGGCTACAGCTGATAACCAGTGTAAGAATTCATAAGGAACACCTAGAAGGTAAAGAAAAGGGTAACTCAGGAGCAAAACCCAAACAGGGCAAGGTCATGAGCTGGCAAGTCACAGAGGAGGAGGGTCGGTGAACAGGTAGAGGCTTACCCTCACGAGCAATCCGGAAGCCAAATCCCTGAGATCATTCCAGGTGTGTTAGATTGACACAGAACTTTCCAGTCTGACACTACCAAGGAAAAATGACTCTGGGGGCGACAATTAGAGCTCCTACAGGCTTCTTGGGGTTAAATTGGTACAATTATTTTGGAGAGTCATTCAGCTAGATGGAGCTGATCCAGAACCTGCTGTCTACACAGCCAGCATGCCCGCCCTGACATACCAGCATGACTTAAAGGGGAGAGTGTCGACTCTGGCCAGACTGGGTTCAAATTCCAGCTTTTCCAAGTCCTGCTCGTACGACCTCAGGCAAGTGATGTGAGCATTTCGTGATTCAGTTTCCTCCTCTATAAAATGGGATAATAACCGTTTGCACTGCAGAGGTTGTTGTGAGGACTGAATGAGTTAATATGCCAGAGACAGAGGACAGCGCCTGATACAAAGGAAGGGCCAGTTACTAGTAAATTACCCGGCAGTTCAAGTGCCTGAACCAGGCTAGAGGGACGTGGATGAGTCTCACAGGCCCTGAGTGGGGGGAGCGAGGCCCACCGCACCTCACCCATTCCCTGAACTTTGCATCATTAGGAGCAGCGCACATTCTGGACCTTGATCCCACAGAGAGGAGGCCTGTTCCCAGGTTTCAGTGAAAAGGGTCCCTGTGGCCCACTGTTGTCACAGGCTGGTCCATTGGGTGACAGAGGCACGAACTGATTCACAGAGAACTCTGTGCTTAAAAATGATCTGAGGGCTGAGAGACAGCTCAGTTGGTAGTGTGCCTGCCTCGCATGCACAAGGCCCTGGGTTCAACCCTCAGCACCACACACACACACACACACACACACATACACACACACAAAAGATCTGGAACAATCCACGCTGACAGAACAGGCCACAGGAGGGGGAGTGGGATTCGGGGCAGCAGACTGAACAGAGGCTTTCTCTCCATTCTATATACTTTCCTGTTGTTTGACTTTCACTTATTCCTTGTGAAAGGTGAAAAATAAAATATCATCTTGCACACACGAGGTCCCCAGTCAATGGGCATGGCTACTGTTCTAAAAGCAAATACTTCTAGCCAGCAGAGAGTGAGGTCCTAGCAGGGAGGCGCCCTGCTTGCTCTGGGGTAGGGCTGCTACCCCTTCCTCCTCACCCGGTGCAGCTGGGCCTTCAGCAGGTCTCACGGCTGTCCCTTCAAATCCAATCACTCTAGCCGTCCTCCTGGCCAGCCACACTCATCCCTCAACTTAGTTTCTACCTTGCCCAGCTCAGAGAGTGGACAGGTCCCAAGCGCCTGCCCACATACCAGGCGCTTTTATGGGCCGTTCACTCATGTGAGCCCACTGAATCCTTAAGCAGCCCTGGGAAGGAGCCATATTCAGATCTGCCTTCTACAATGAAAACACGGAGGCACGGACAGCTCTAGTACTCTCTTCCAGGTCCCAGGTCCCGGAACAGCAGGGCTGGACCCCATCTGTAGAGCACATGCACATGCTCTCTGCCACCTGCCCACGCTGTCTGCATCCCAGCATGCCAGTGCTCACAGGAGCCAGATAAAGTCAGAGCTGGCTGCAGTGGCCACCTGAGCTGGCCCAGATGCCCCTCAATCCCCCCTCCCACTGTCTTCCTCCATCCCCCAACACTAGCCTCTGGGCTGTTTCTCTCTTTACGGCAGGTCACTGCTTGGATGTCACCTCCCGCTAACCACTTATAGACCCCGGCTAAGTGCAGTGGCAGCCTGTAATCCCAGCCCTTCTGGAGACTGAGGCAGGAGGATCACAAGTTCAAGGCCAGCAATTCATAATTTATCAAAGTAAAAAATAAAAAGGTCTGGGGATGCAGCTCAGTGGTAAGAGACCCTGGGTTCAATTCCCAGCACTACCATTACAACAAATGATAATAATGATGTAAAACGAAATATGGTCCCCACTTCATCCTCTGTCCCTGTCCTGTTGTAATTCATTCTAGATTCTATCACTTCCTGACATTACATTAGAAGCTTTCTTGTTTGAATGCTTATTATATTTCTTTCTTTTTTTTTTCCTAGAATTTCTGCTCCATGAGGACCTGGAAGGTGAGCAAATGTCCCTGCTGCAGCCCAGTGGCCAGGGGGCCCTTGGGAGGCGACTGCTCCAGGCGTGGCTCTGTGGTCCTCCCTCTGGGTTAGCAGGGTGGCCCCTTCCTTCTAAGGACCATGGATCAGCAGGGCAGAGGGTGAAGTGAGAGCTTCCATTTTCTGCCCTGACCCCTGATTTCCAGTCTCTCCCCTCTGGTCCCCTCCTGCCCTGGCCCCCACCCTCAAGTCACATCTTTCCGGCCACCTGGAAAAGGGGAAAGATCCATCCTCACCTGATAGGTCTGACCTGTCACCCCTCCCAAAGGTATTTACATTTGAAAAGAGACCACAAAACCCTACCTGACTGTGTCCTGGCATAACTCCTTGTAACCCCCCCACACTTTTTTCCCTTATGGTGTTGGGGATTGAACCCCAGGCCTTGTGCATGCAAGGCAAGCACTCTACCAACTGAGCTCTATCCCAGCCCTTGGCATGACTTCTGACACAGGATATTTGAGAGCAATTCTGTCTTTCCCTCACCCTGGGCCCTGAGTCACAGGGTAGCTCACAGGTAAGGACATTGAAGGAGAAGGAGAGATGCTGGGTCCACACTCACCCAGCGGGTCAAAGGCTGTGACCCCGCAGACATCAAAACTGCCCACTGTCCCACTGACCCACCTCCTCCTTTCCTGCCTCCCAGGCCTGGCTTTGTCCCCAAAGCATCTCCAAAGCCTCCTCAGGCTCTGCTTGGACACCTCCCTCCAGAACAAAGCCCTTACCCATCTCGATCCCACAGATGACCAGGGCTGCTATCACAGCACCTGCTGACGTCCCTGCGAAGCGATGGGCTGTGTCCAGCATCCGAGGCGCCAGATCCCGAAGGGCATCCACAACCCCAGCCTGGTAGTAGGAGAGGAATCCACTGCCCGAGAAGGAGATGGAATGAGGGGTGTCTGGGTCCCCCTTGAACACCTGCTCTTCCATTGCCTCAGCCTCCGGCCTTCCACAGGAAGGAGGGACCACGGTTCAGAGCCTGCTCGCCTCAGCCTGGCCTGCCAATCCCTGTGGGAACTCGCTGTCAGCTTCCCTGCCAGCCCAGAGCCTGGAATGTGGCCGTCTCTACTGGGTTGGCCCGGGGAACCCACGGGTGGTTCAGACAGCTACCGCCCGGGCCTGTTCAACCCTGCCAGGTGGCAGTCTCAAAGGTTGGAAAGGGGCCTCTAACTCAGGATCAGGTGCAGAAGGTCCTCCAAATCCATGAGCAGGGTCCTGGTCCTGCGACCCTGCGGCTGGCTTCACTGCCTGGCTGGATCCATCTCTGGCACCGGCTCCCCAGCCTTCTGCCTGTCTCTGGAACACCTAGGAGTGTTCACGGCTCCCTGACAGGGCCATGCCCAAACAGGAGGATGCCACTCAACCCTCCACAAGAGGCTTTACACACCCAGTTGCAAAACCTCTGCCAGTGGATCCGCGTGCGCCTCCCTCTTTGATGCGCTGCTGTGGTGTAGGAGTCACAAGCCACCTCCCTCTAGGACAGCATCCCCTCCCCCCAGAGGCGAGGCTGCCCGTGTGGGACACCCACCTCCCACGCTCCTCCCGCCCCTTGCCCCTCCCTGGCTCCTCCAGGCTGTGTGGTTTATGGGATGTGCTTTATAATTATTTTTATTTGTTCTTACATAAGCATCCCTTTATTTATTCACTTGTTTATTCTCATTCTCATGTTAGGATCGCCACAGGCAAAACTGTAAAGGAAGAGAAGTTTGGCTTCAGGGCTGAGACCACCACACATTTCCACCTCTGAAGTCCTAGACCCCTTGGCTCTAGGGCAGTACTCTCTCACTGATCTTTCAGGCTACCTCTAAGTGTGCAGGAAGAAACCAACCTGAAATCCAGATCATTCTGAGTCTTTGGGATGCTCTTCTTCCCGCTTTGAAATGAGAAGCTGGAGATGGCAATATTTAATCCCCAGGATGAACAGCTTGGAAGGTCCCCTGTGGGTCCCCTGGGTCAGGGCAGAGATGTTTTGGCAAGGGAGATGGTGCGTGGGGACCAGGTTAGCTACAGGGGTGTCCTCCCTCCCTGGAGGATGGGTCTTCTTTAAAGGCCCCCAGATTTCACCACTAAGCACTAATGTGGAAAGACCACATCTCTCCACCTCTCCACTCCCCCAGACCACAGTGGCAGGGGCAGAACTACAGTGGAGACAGCAAGTCCCCACCCACTTCCAATGGAGGCCAGCCTCTGAGGAGGAGGAGAGGTCAATGCCTTCTCTGGTCCTGGGAGCCTCACCAGCTCTGGTGTCCTCCTGGTCTAAACCGGACTTCCACATTGAGGGCAGTGGCTAGGATTCAGTTAGGAGGGCATCTTCTGTCTTGTATTGATACAATTACCTCAGTTTCGGAAGAGAGCTTTTGATGAGACATGTGTGCAACAGAGAAAGTGTGTGTGTGTGTGTGTGTGTGTGCCCGCGTGCCTGCGCGTGCCAGCAGATACAAGGCAAACATCTGGGATGAAGACTGGGAGTGTGACAAGGTGGCCATTGGCTTTCAGAACAGCAGACCCCCCTTCCTGGGAAAGTCAGGTTAGCCGCCCCCCCCCCCCCCCCCGCAATCTGTGGGGCAAGGCCTGAGCCCGAGCAGAAGCTCCGCCCCCTAGCTCAGAGACAGGCACACAAAAGTGGAAGAACCAGAGCCCCGTCCAAGGCAATCTGTAATTAAGAACTCAATTGTGCAAGGCTGAGGAGGCTGCCGGCAGTTAAGAGGGGAGGAGAGCAGTGTGGGCTGACCATCAGCCAGCAGTGTGAGGAGCTGTGGGCTGGGGGACTTAATGAGGATGGGAGGAGGGACGGGTTGGGATAAGGATCATCATGAGCTCCTTACAGAGGAGGGAAATGTTGAGGGGCGCAGAGTCACAGGGTGAAAGGCTCCGCTCCGCTGTCTCCAGGCAGTGGGATCCCTCTGATTCTCCACGCCTGGTTTTCCTAGTCTGCTAAGGAGACAATAATTCCTGTGCTCCGCGGTAGTAAAGCGGAAAGATAATGGCTGTAAATGCCTGGCAGGTGGTGTGCCTGTCATCAGAGAGTAGTAAAGTCCAAAGCCTCTGGAACCGATGGACCTGGAGATAAGGTGGAATAACAGATTGAAAGAGGAAAGCTGTGTCCAGGAGCCACACGCAGGGGGAGCCTGGAGCCTCCTGGGACAGAGGTGAGAGCAGGGCTGGAGAAGGAAGGAGGGCCGTGGCAGCCAGGCCAGGGTGGCAGCTGAAGGAAGACCAGTTAGTGAAGCCATTGCCACAGAAGACTCCCGGGAGTGGGGAGGCTGGGTGGCTGGGCAGGGTGAGTCACAGTTGATGCTAGGATTTGGGGATTTGGGCCCGAAGGTAGGGAGGGGCAGGCAGCCTTTGTCAGACTTGGAGAAACTGGGGGTGGGGAGCGGGGGATGGGGGTGATTTTACTTATAAGACTGTCCAAAGTTGGCAACCAGACGTGGCAGGGATGGCTCCAGAGTGAGGGACAGGGACACTGCCATTAAGCGGGTGGAGAGGCAGGTGGAGGTGAGCACGAGGTCCCATTGAAGGCAAGATGGCTATGGACAAACATCTCCTTCCAGGTCCTCCTGACAGTCCCAGTGAACCAGAAGCAAGGCCACCTGCTCTACCCGGCTGCGGTGGCCTGTGTTCAACACTGCTGCAGGGAGGCATGGCCTCCGTGCCAGTAAACCAGGAACCCACGACTGTACCCATGAGAAGGCCCCCCGGGCTGTTACCCTGGACCCTCAGGGTGAGACCATGGAGAATGTTCAGCTCACTTCCCCTTGTTCCTGGTGTCACACTCAAGGCCCTCAGAACTTCGAGGGAATGACATCGAGGAAGAATCACTTCCCGACACTTCTGCATTTGATTTGAAGAGTTGTGTTGTGATCTTCTCAGGTGTTTTTTAAAACCAAGTTCTCACTTCTCATATGACCCATCGGTCATATTAAGAAACAAGACTGCTTATTGCATATAATTCCAAGACAACCCAAAATCAATGCACAGAGGCTGCAGCTGCCATAAATATGAGACTTACGCATAAGGTCTTCGAAGACTTGCGGGATTGCTCTTGGGAAGGAGGGTGTGTTTAGGTTGGCTTTTCAAAGATGGTACATCACCTCTGCTCACATCTTGAAAACAGAAATTTAGTGGAGAACCTGGTTGCTACTTGATACAAGAGTGTGAATGTCACAGCATCACCAATCGATATTATTAACAAAAATATTTAACCTGAATCTGAGGCCTAACTTCCTGTTCCCAATATATACCAAATATGAAGGAACAAGTTAAATGCTTCTGGGTTCCAATAATTGGACAAGTTGAGACTGTGGGGAGGACTGGCAGAAACCATGGCTGGCTACACAGCAGCTGCCTCCTGCACACTTGTTCCTTGTCTGAATCTCTGTAGAGCAACTGAGAAGGCTGAGACCCAATTCCCCAGCCTCCTTTGCAGCTAAGGGTGCTGTTTTAGTCAGTTTTTTTCACTGCTGTGACTAAAGGATCTAACCAGAACAAGTGTAGTGGAGGAAAAGTTTATTTGCGGGCTCGCAGTTTTAGAAGTCCATATAAGGCTGGCTCCATTTCTCAAGGCTCTAAATGAAGCTAAACATCATGGCTGGAGAGTGTGGCACAGGGAAGCAGCTCACATCATGGTGATCAAGAAGCAGAGAGTCCAATGTCCTCCGATGATCCCAGCATCGATCAAGAACCATTCAAGAAGAATCAAACTTGCATAGGTGCTTGCTTTCTTGTTCCAACTTTTAGTCCATCCAAGCCATCATCCTATTGGTCAGTGCTGCCCACACTTAGGGAGGGTCTCCCTTTCAATTGGCTATCCCACGTGCCAAACATTCCTAGACACACCCTCATTGACACACCCATAAGCCTCTTAATCCTTGGTATCTCTTAATCCGATCAAGTTGACAATTCAAATTGACCATTACAAGTGCTGAAGAGATCCACTTTTAGGAGAAAACCCTCTCGATGGTGCCTCAGGAAGATTTTCCTTCTTTTCTCTTTCCTCCCCTATCTGAAAAATAAAATACGGTTGTCACAATTAATTGAATGGCCCTCTAAAACTGTAACTTGCCTTTTGAGGTGTGCAAATTAATTTTTGAATACTTGATCAACAAACATACAGGCGGATCCTCTGTGAGGTGCGAGTGTTCAAAACTTTTCTAAAAGTCAGGAATTTTAAAATGTACAACTTAAGGGGCTGGGGCTGCAGTTCAGTGGCAAAGCACCTACCTAGCATGCTGAGGCACTGGGTTCAATCCTCAGTACCATACAAAAATAAACAAATAAAATAAAGGCATTCTGTCCATCTACAACTACAAAAAAAAATTAAAAATATACGACTTAAAGAGAGAGAGGGGGGCAAACTTTGGCCCAGTTGAGATTAGGACAGAGCTTGCTAACTTTCCATCAGGATGTCCTTTTGTATGAACTGAAATCATCCATGCAGCCTAACAGTATCTTCTTCTTCTAGTGAAACAGTTCAGACAGACATTAAAGCTCCCAAAAGAGTACAACTAACATCCACGTAGCCACCAGACAGATTAAACGAATCGTAACATTTTACTACATTTTGACCAAATATTTATTTGGTTTTAAAGAAATGAAACATCACAGATGGAGGCAAAACCTCCTTGGAACTCTTTGCTGATCTCAATCTCACCTCTTCCTCCATGGGAAACCAGGTTCCAGATTAGTGAGTGAATCTTTCTTGTCCATGTTTTCACACTTTTCTTTTTCAAGTACAAGAGATGGAACCCAGTACCCACTGAGTCACATCCTCAGCCCATTTTATTTTTTTATTTTTCAGACAGGGTCTTGCTAATTTGCTTAAGGTCTGGTTAACTTGCTGAGGCTGGCTTTGAATTTGTGATCTTCCTGTCCCAGCCTCCCAAGCTGCTGGGATTATAGGTATGTGCTACATGTTTTCATACTTTTATTACATGAATTTTTTTATAGCCGCTCAGGAGGCTGAGGCAGGAGGATCGAAAGTTTGAGCAACTTAGCAAGGTCCTAAGCAACTTAGCAAGAACCTATCTCAAAAAATAAAATAAAATAAGAAGGGCTGGGGCTGGGGATGTGGCTCAAGTGGTAGCGCGCTTGCCTGGCATGCTTGCGGCCCGGGTTCGATCCTCAGCACCACATACAAACAAAGATGTTGTGTCTGCCGAAAAAACTAAAAAATAAATATTAAAATTAAAAAAAAATTGTCAAAAAAAAAAATAAATAAATAAGAAGGGCTGGGATTGTGCTCAGTGGTTAGGCACCCCTAGGTTCAATCCCCAGTACAAAAAAAAAAAAAAAGCCATAAATATTTTATAAACAACATGTAGTATTGTTTTATAAATATTTTTACATTCACATAAACAGACTACATTGCATTTATTTTGCAACTCTGTTTTCATTTAGCCTTATGATATGTGGTTTGGTCTTTTTTCTGTAGTCCTGCCTTTTGAAACCTTGGGATAATATATTTATCATGATAGATGCTTGGGTTGTCTCCAGTGCTTTGCTACAGCCAACGACACCAGAGAGAACATACTTTGCACTGTATGGGAATTTCTCTGGTCCCAGTGTGGGTGTATCAGTTGTACCCCTGGGGTTTCAACTTACAGAAGTGACTGGGTTACACCACGGAGAGGCTAATGCCATTGATAAAACATCTTGTTGTTTACATTTTCACCAAGTTTGATCAGGAGGCAGAAGGGGTGAGCACAGCCCAGAAGAATCTGTTGAGAAAGGCCTGGAGGGGCAGGGAGCAGTTTAGGATTGGCTAGTGGGAATGACGTGGGCGGGCTTAGGCCACAGGGCTTAGGGCAGAGGGTAGGCGCCCGCCGGAGGAGGTGGCTCAGGGGTGGGCTCTGATTGGTTAGTTTCCCAGAGGAGAACTTTGATTGGTTAGTTCATGGAGGGCTTGTCGTGAGCCCTTTGCCAGCTCCAAGAATTGGCAAGCCTTGGGAGGGGCAGTCTCTTCCCCAGTCGGGGAGGCCACACGTGCCAGAGCATGGAGAACGCACAGAATAAGAAACTCTGGTTCATATCCGGGCCCTTCGGTTTGACGGGGCGTTGCCCTGTGGCTGTCTACACTGGCTGCACCAGTTCCCCCGAGTGTCTAGCTGAGGTTGAATTGCCTCACTGCTCTTGATAATACTCGATGAAAAACAATTTGCGAATCTGAGGGGTGTGAAACACTACCTCCTGGGTGTTTAATGTGTATTTCCCACAAATAACCATATTTGTGAGGCCAGGCATCATTCCACGTGGTCATTCTGTTATTTCACTCTGCCCTTCTTGTCGCTTGCTAACCTCTTCCCATTTGGGTGGGAAGCCAATTGGTCTTTGTTAATAACGTGTAAACTTTGGAACTGATATTGGCTCCATTCAATGCACTGCAAATATCCTCTCCCACTTTGTGGCTTCTCTTTCAACTTTGTGATGTTGTCTTCTGTGGTCCAAAACGTTTTAATTTTCATTTTTGCAATGTTAGGAACTGAAACCAGGGCCTTGCACATGCTAGGCAAGCACTCTACCACGGAGCTGTGGCCCGATCCCTTAAAGGTTTTTTTTTTTTTTTTTTTTTTTTTAATATTTTCTTAGTTGTAGTTGAACACAATATCTTTATTTTATTTATTTATTTTATGTGATGCTGAGGATAGAACCCAGCGCCTTGCACATGCTAGGTGAGTGCTCTACCGCTGAGCCCCAGCCCCAGCCCCCCAGCCCTTAAAGTTTTAAATTTTAATATAATAAAATGTATCAGTCTTTTCTTTCATGGTTTATGGAAGGCATTAAGATGCTCTCCGTATAAAATAAAATCCCAGTTACTTTAAATAATTTAACCATCAAAGTCTAAGCTATTGTTCTGTCTCCATAGGAAAGCAGCAGTTTGGTGGGCAATTTGGCACCGTTTATTTAAAAATCAATACTTGCCGGAATTTATACAGCAGAAACATTCACAGGAGCCCCCCACCCCATCACCAAATGTATGCACAAGATTGTTAAATAACATCATTTGTAACAGCAAAGATCTAGAAGGAATCCGAGTTTCAGTGGAAAGCTGGTTAAATGAATTATGGAATAGCTGCATAATGTAATTCTCTGCCTCTACAAAAAAGAATAAGGCTGATTTGGATGTGCTCATAGGGAAAGTTCTCCAAGATGTATTGGTAAGTAGGGAAGGAAATAAAAGGACCCAAGCAGTAAGTATAATATGCTACCATTTATGTCTAAAAGGGAAACTTTTTTCTTTATGTATATGCATGTAAAATTTCAAAAATAAAACTGCTGAGAGAAGGAGGCTACAAGAGGACAGGGCTTGAGGGTGGAGGGAAACCCATTTGCCACTGCCAAAATCATGGGTGGTTTTCATTGTGGCTTCCATTCTGGCAAACAAAGAAGAACCTCTGGAAGATCACAGTAGCTATTGTTTCTGGCATTTGGAATAGTCGGAGGTGAAGGGGGCCTTTTGTTCCAACAGCTAAGAAGAAATCGAATCATTAGAAACAGGCGGGGGAGTGGGCGTCTCCTAGACAGTGTCATTACAGGTGCATTGTGGGCCAGTCCCAGGGCAGGGCTGGTCGCGACCCTGCTGATGAGGTTTGGGCTTGCTGATGTCTGGGGAGGGCAGGAAGGGTGAACAGCCTCCCTCTGTGGGGGTTGTCTGTGACACAGAGGTGGATGGGATGGAGTGGGGCACAGGGGGTCGTGATTGAAGATCTGAGCTGAGAGCATCCACCTGGGCTCCTGAGGTCCGAGATCCGGGCTGGCTCTAGGATGGGGGTCTCTTCGCAGTGTGTGGCTGTGTGGAGGGAAGAAGCTGGGCACCCCTCTCCCTGTGGAGGAGGAGAGCCCAACCTCGGAGGTTCTGGCAGGCAATTCTGGAGAGGAAGAAAAGTGGTGCTCAACCCGGGAAAGTGCTCATCCAGTGAGTGAGCAGCAAGCCATCTAAGGTCACCCCGCTGACACTAAAGGAGGAAGAGGGACCGGGCGGCCTCATGGAGCAAAAACAAGACATGCAGTTGAGTCCTGCTGGCTTTTCCAGGGCAGCACAGTGTCGCCAGTCTGGGAACTGGGTTGTCTGAGCTCAAGCCATAGCCGTGTGAATGGCACACCTGGCAAGTTATTTAGATGCAAGTTTTTGCTATTAAAAAATGGGAGAATAATAATACCTCTGTAAAAGCACGTACTCATAGGGACTTGTCCTGGTACACATTAATTGTTAACTTGTTTTTACTTATTTATTTGTAAATTCAGCCCAGCTGGGGACTTGGACAGTGGTATGATCAGCACATAGAGACTGAATCTGTGTCTGAGGTGGATGCACGTTAACCAAACCCACAAACCCAATAAATAAGCTGCCCATGAGTGTCACTAAGTCCATTGAGATCCCTGCTCTGCAGAGCACAGACCGTGCTCAGAGGTCCCTTGCAGGACAGGATCACGTCTGCATTCTTGCTTATGTCCAGGGCCATTCCTGCTACTCGCCTCTAAAATGAGTTGGTCCCACAGGATTCCAGTTCATGAATATTTGCCGCATGAGAAAATGGTTACTGTGGTGCTCTCTGCAACAGGCAAGACTGGAAACAATCTAAATGTGGAACAGCAGAGAGCGTGTTATTAGATTGTGGTTCCATCACCTCACAAAACAGAAGAATCATGGCAAAGGACAATTAAAATGGTGATATAGGAAGGTGGAGAAATGCTTGTGATGTAATTTTAGAAAAACAAAAGAAATCAAAATGGTCAGGCCGTGAGATGGATCTCTGTTTATGACATTTTGAGTGATAAAGCAAAGTTCAGAGGAGGGTGTGTGATGTCACCATCTGTGTAAAAGAGAGCAAAGGATTTAAGAATCCACTTGCAGCTATAAGCATACGCCACCTCTGACAGATTCACAAAAGACCAAAAATGTTGGTGTCCTCTAGGCAAGGGGACAGGGTGGTGACAGCAGGGAGACACAATCCTGATAATACTTCTGCCTTCTCAATGTAGAACCAAGCAGATGTGTTTCTGATTTTAAAATTAAATAATTTAAAATGCCTTCTGGTTTTAAAACAAATGTTTCTCTCTTCTCTGTTCCTTAAGTCTAAGAATCATGTCCTGCCCCCACCCTCAAATTTTAAGGTTTCTTGCTGTCAATAGTCATTCTTAATAGGTTGCGGTAGCTCTGTTTGGAGTTTTTCCTCCCCCTAAAAAGCTTTTACTAAATTGAGGCTGAGTCTTCAAATAGGTGGTATTTTAGAATCAAGGAAACATCGTAGATTTTAAAAAAAGGTGGGCATGTGAAAACCACTGTGTGGGGCAACTGGGCCATCTTTCTTTTTCAAAATGATCTTCACTGTTATGTTTGTATCATTTCTTCAGTTTTTCCTTAAAATGAAACTTACACTGTTCTCAGGGATCCATCAACAGTTTGGGAAGAGTTCCCTAGGCCCAGGGAACAGATGATTGGCAACACAGTAACCCCATGAAAGTCCCCATTTCCTCAGCTTAGTTTAGCTTAAATAATTGACCCCAAAGGCCCTGGCTCTATGTTTTGTTGTGTTACAAGGAAAGACTCCATGACCTTGGGTTTTTCAAGAGACACCATCTTCTAGGAGTTGATTGACCCAAAATAAAGAAATATGTGGTCACCAGGGAGTCTGTTCCAGCCATTGGTTCACACCTGAGTTTGGTAGCAACTCTTGCTCTGATGCACAAAACAAGTATTGAGTTGGGAATATTGGTTCAGACAAGAGGCTGCTAGTCAGATTGTCATGAGGGAAGCCCACTGAATATTGTGACCAAAAGGTAGCTTTGGAACATTGATTGTGGCTTCCAGAAGTTCAGACGGTTCTGCGTAAGCTCTGTGGATAAAGGACCTATTGGTCAAATGAATACAGTTCAGAAATATGCAGATGAAGTTGGCCCATGGTGGAGCATGCCCACAATCCAGTGACCTGCACATGGGAGGCTGAGACAGGAGGGCTGCAAATTCAAGGCTAGCCAGGACAACTCACCAAGGCCCTTTCTCAAAATTAAAAAAAAAAAAGTAAAAGGTCTGGAAATGCAGCTCAGTGGTAGAGTGCTTGCCTAGCATCATGTGAGAGGCCCTGGATTTGATTCCCAGGAAAAACACACACACACACACACAAGAGCTAGGGAGAGAAAGACAAGCCCTTGGAGAGTCACCATGCCATCCTCCATATTAAAGGCACTAAAAAGTTCTGTGTGGCAGTTTGCCTTGGTTTCTGGCTTATTCTTTCTCCTTTTTCCTGGTTAAACAAATCCTAATTCTGTTTACATTCTTGGGGCAGCTATGTCCTTTAGGGAAAGCAGGCCCTGGAACAAGGGAGATTAAAAAAAGAGCAGATAAACACAATTCTGGCCAATAAGAGAAGAAATCTGCTGGGGGATTATGAGAAAGCTGTCTTTGTTCTTTGAAAACAGACTCACAAAAATTCTGCATCCAGTGATGGCTGAGTAGCTCCCATTGGGCCAAAACCTCCCACATGACAAAATTATAAAACGCAATTATGAAAACACTTGAGAAAGATCCAAACAGCATGGATACTGGGGAGCAGTCAAAGCTTGGAGGAAGGGAATAGCACTGGATGTTTGTTTTTATTTTCTTGGAGCTTTTTGCCTAAGGAAAGCCACCAGCAAAGGTTACGTGAATGTTTAAGCCCACAGTAGTCCTGGCATGAAAAACCAGAGGACAGAATTCTGGTGACCACAAAGCTGGACAGTGAGACAGGAAACCCTGCAAAGATGAAGCCATAAACAGGTAACTCCAGATTCTGTGTCTAGACCCTGTACATCACTGAACCCCACCTGTGTGGTATAGACTCCAAGCAGCACAGCCAAGTCTAGAAGATCTAAATTAAGATTTCAGCTCCTATCCAACAGAGGGGAGACAGCATTTCCAGTCTGAGAATTCAGCCAAGTTAACAAACACAAAAAGCAGTATATTCATTGGGAAAATGAAAGGAATCCAGAGTCCCTGCACTATAAAGACACAATGCTCAGGATACCATCCAGAGGTAGTTGACATGAAAAGAAACAGGAAAATGGGACCCATAGAAAGAGAAGCAGAAGTCAACGGAAACCAAGTTCAAGATGGTCCAGATGTAAGAATTAAAGACAAAGACTTTAAAGCAACCATTATAACCATGTTCAAGAACATAAATGAAAGTATGTTCATAATGAATGAAAAGATAGGAAATCCAAGGGGAGAATCAGCAACTATAAAAAGATCACAATGGAAATTCTGGAACTAAGAATGTGACAATTGAAAAAAAGAGACCAATAAGAAAAAATAGCCCTTTTTTTCTTTGCCTTTACCACCATCAGGATGTGGTGCTTGTTTCGCCACAGTTATGAGGACAGCTGGCCTAACGAGGCCCAGGCACTATGCCATACATGGCACAGCAAGACAATGAACAGGACCTGGGTCCTTAATGATGTCATCAAGCCACTAGATTAACTGCCCGAGGGACTTCTCTGCTACCAGATTTCTTGTATTGGGAGAAAAAGAAAATGTCTTTATTTAAGCTATTTCTGTTTGGGTTCTATGTTACTTATATGAGAAAGAAAGCATCATAACCCTTGCCCCAAAGTTCACTAAATGTATGTCACCACATCTTCTCCAAGTAATATCTATCGACACACCCAGCATGCTTAGTTCTGGTGTAGACCCTCGTTTCTGTCTTCTAAATCTGCATCATTCAAGTTTATCACCTGTAGAACAGCAAAGGCTACAGTCTATTTTGACCAAATTGGTGACTTGAAGTCTGCTGGGAATGCATTACCAGAAAGTTCAGGTTTGCAAATTGCCGTTACTCAAAGTGTGATGTGGGCAGCGTCAGCGTCTCAGCCCATCCCAGCCTATTGAATCAGGGTCTGCACTTCAACAAGAGCCCAGGTGAGTCACGCGCACACTGGAGCTTGAGAAGACTCCTGAGAACTACAAGTGACAATACAGGTGTTAGCTGTATGTCACTAATTAACAAAAAACTTCTTAATCTGTTCTCAGAGACCTTCACAGAATCATTTCATTTGGTTTTCACAGCAATACTGAGAGATTTTTAAAAATCCATTTATAGACAAGGAAATGAGATTCAGAGAAGTAAAATGACATTTACATGATTATGGAAAGACAGTGCTCTTCTTTGTTCTGATACTGTGTCGTGGTTTTCAGTGATTCAGACCTTCGGTGTCCAAACTGGGAGGTAAGTTCTTAGCACCCCACTGACCATCTTTTTGTATTCTCTGTTAGGATTGTGCCTTTTTGTCCCTGAGGAGCACATGAGCAGCCCCTTCTGTCTGCTTACCAAGGGCCTCAGCCCCTGTGACGGGCCAAGTTCACGGCTATACCTAATGATATACCTAATGATACAGCTAGTGACACAGTAAGTAGCCATATTTTAAATGTTTGTGCTCAAAGTATATTTGGTATTGAATGCCTTTCCACTCAATAGATGAAAAATGTTGAAACAAAGTTAAAAGTGAAAATTGCAAGACAAGATTATCTGTGACGTACCAGCTATAAAAATTGGCCTCAGCTACATTAGGAAGGGTGAACCTGGACTAGTATGATCTTTTCCATCCATCCAGAGAGCCCAGCCATTCTTCAATTCCAGCCTCCCCCCACCCGGCCTCCTTGACTCCACTGGGCCTCTTGATTCCACCCTCCTTTCCCTTCTCCCAGCTCCTACTGCACACTCTGGTCCTTGGACAGAGCTGAATTTCTTTTAAGCACCTGTCCCTTCCACAGGGCCCCCCACATACGTGCATCGGTGTCTGGGTTTTTAGGAATCTTTGTTCTGCGCTCCACAATGCCCAGCCCCTGTTCCAAATCACTCACCAGGCCCTTTGGTTCTGTTTCCCAGCTTTCCTCAGCTCTCCCGAACTCCCTGTCCCTTCAGGGCCTCTGTCCAGGGCCTCCTTGTCTCCCTCAGGGACCACTGCACCATTGCAGCTATCAGTGCTGTATCTTTTACTTGCAGCCTTAAGTAAAAGAAAACTCAACATGGAGTGGCTTGTGCTGTGAGGAAAGTCTACACTTTCTATTTAGGAAGCATCCTGTCTAGAAAGCCCTTGGGAAGACTTTCCCTCAGGGTTTGCCAGTTGGGAGGGGCTCACATGTCCATGCCTTAGCTGCAGCGGAGGCTGGGACAGCCACCATAGCGGGACACAGACTCTTCCAGAAGAAGGGAGAGAGGTCAAGGGGCAGCTTCTACTGTGGATCCAACTCTATCTGCCTCAAACATCCCTGCCTTGGCACCGACCCCCCCCCCCCGTGCCAGCCTTTTCATACATTCCTGACACTGCCACTATTCATTCATTTAATTAATCACTCACTCATTACATTAGGTTCAGCTAGGTTATATTGCAGGAACAATTAATCTTCTGCAACCAAAGAGTTTCACAATGATGTGTTTTTATGGCCAGGGCATCAACTGAACTTTCTGTGCCATGGCAGCAGCAGAAAGAGAGAGTAGAGATCTACAGTAACTCTTTAATGCCCCCACCTGAAATTGACATGTATCAGTTCTGCTCACATCATACCGGCTAAAGCAAGTCACACGGCCACACTGAACTTTAAAAAGGACATAGGCACACAATCATCTTTTGCATAGGGCGGGCAGCTTCACCAAGCATTGGTTGAGCATCTACTGTAAGCAAGGCTGATGCTGGAGAAGTGCTAAAAGTCTTTCCAGTCTAGAAGTCTGCCATCTGCCTTGTGCCCTTGTGCTAACATGAAGCCTTCCAATGGACCACCTCCTACATTTTTGTTGCAATAAAACAACAAGGATCTGAATAGACGACAAAACCTGAAAGATGTCTCATCCCTTCTCGCAAGCCTAATGCTTAGAATAGTGCTTTGCACTAGTGGAAACTTAATGTTTGTTTGTTTGTTTGTTTGAGTGGTGCATGAGATAGGGTGAACTCACCTACCAGGAACAAGAAGCTGACCCTGATTTAAACAAATATGGTTTGTATTTTCACAGAGTGAGAAATCCAGCAGCCACTGCAGCTGGGCTTGTCTGTTCAGCAAATTCACCCAGGACCCAGACTCTTTCTAGCCTTAGGAGATCCTCAGCTTTGGAGTTTTTCTCCTTGTGATTGTGCCTCGTGGTCATAAGACTGCTGCCACAGCTCTAAATAGCATATTCACACTTAAGGTAAGAAGCAGTAGAAGAGGCTGCAAGGGCTTTCCTCCTGTGATTGTCCATTTTAGCAGGTAACAAAAATCTTCCCCGAAGCACCCACTAGCTTACATTTCATAGCCAAAACGTGGTTCACATGGCAGAAAAAGGCTGGGGGAGAAGACATCTGGGTTTCAATCTCTGTGTTATGCAATGGCAAAGAAGGGCCTGGGAATGGTTTTGGAGCAAACTGATGTGTTCATCCCAAATGAAGAATATGTGCTCAGTAACTATCTGTGGAGGGTCTGATTCTTGTGATCTCATTCTTTATTTATTTTCAGTACCATACAAAGAGCTCTCTCATCACTGCAATGACTAACCAGTTTTGAACACATCTTGAGTTTGTGCTGGGCCCCAGGCCAAGCAAGTTACATGAATTTTCTCATTCTATCTTTGCAACTCTATGACAGACTTATTATTGATCTCTGATTTACATATGAAGAAATTAAATCCCAGAGTACTTAAGCAACCTGTCTAACTTGCTCATTTACTAGCTGGTAAGTGATGAAACAGGGCTTTGAACACCAGTGATCTCAATCCCAGAACCTGATTTCCTATCCTAGACCTTCAGATCTAGAGGGGACCTCAGGACTCATCAGACCCTGCCCTTTATTTCCAGGGTGCTTAAACAGAGGGCCAGGGAAAGAAGGTGACTCTGCTCAAGATGTGCTCAAAACTGGTTAGTCATTGCAACCTGCTAAAGGTCACACAGCAAGCCCAAGTCAGAGCCAGACCCAGAACTCAAGAGCCCTCACTCCTAGGTGATCCTTCAGTCCACACTGGTCTGCCTCTATCTGGACACCTCACACTAATATGCTGATCTTTGAAAAAAAAACCAAAATGTCTAGCATGGCATACTGTAGACAATTTGGTTTTTAAAAATTGTATTCGAGGGCTGGAGATATAGCTCAGTTGGTAGAACGCCTGCCTCGCATGTAAAGGCCATGGGTTCAATCCCCAGCACCACACACACATACACACACACACACACATACACACACACACACAAATGTATTTGATTTAAGGCTTGGCAAAGTAGTTGTCTTCTTTTCTGGAGTCAAAAATGGGTGCCCGGTGCAGTGACACATGCTTATATTCTCAGAGGTTCCGGAGGCTGAAGCAGGAGGATCACAAGTTCAAAGCCAGCCTCAGCAACAGTGAGGCACTAAGCAAATCAGTGAGACCCTGCCTCCAAATAAAATACAAAATAGGGCTGGGGATGTGGCTCAGTGGTTGAGTGCCCCTGAGTTCAGTCCCTGGTACAAAAAAAAAAATTGGTGATAATTTGGTTCAAATTCTGTTACCCATCTCAGTGGAAACTCCAGTCTACATGACTTTTTTTCTGTTCTCAAGGAGTAAGAGGAAGAGTATAAGAACCTCAGCTGGAACATACTGAGATGACTTTGAGGCCCAGGCTCACGACCCAGAAACACTGTTCAGTCACATCCTGTTTAACACAAGCCTTGGGGGAGTCTCTTGAGTAGAAAAGTGTGGCTTCAAGTCCTACTTCTGCCACCTGTTAGCTCTGAGATCCTAGGTCCTAGGTCCATTGTGGAAATTGAGGAGAACAAACATACAGAAGCACCTGGCACTAACTGGGACAGGGTCCCCTTCCACGGCTGCCTCCCTTGGGACTTCTAGGATGGATATACAGCCAGCATCCAATTCCTCGAGCAGAACACCTCATCCTGTGTCAGAGGAGGACAGGGGCCGGGGCTGTAGCTCAGTGGTAGAGGGCTGGCCTAGCATGTGGGAAGCTCTGGGTATTTTCTAGAACCGCAAAATAAATTAATTAATTAAAGTTGCAGAAGGACTGAATTCTTCCAGGCTGACTCCAACTGTCTGGAAAAGCCACTTGGTGTGGAATGTAAGACAGAGAGTAAAGACGCAAGTAGGGGCTCTGGAGCCCAGCGGGGTTTGGATTTAGGCTCTGTCACTTCCTATAGTGTGTGTGGGTATGTGACCTCCTGAGCCCCGATACAAGGGAGGTAACAGTGACGGTGCCCTCCTCTGGCGTTGGCACTGGATTCAACAAGGTGCCACATGTAGAGCACCGAGAACTGTGTTGCCACATGGTGAGCACATCCCTTGGGTACCCTGGGGCTGGGTTACATCCGTCAACCTCTTCAACAGCACATTTCAGTGTGGGCTGTGCTACACATTTTCTCTGTCTCTTTTAGGGGTGAGGATATTTGGGCAAATGACTGCATGTGGCAGCAGGGTGAAGCAGCATAGCTTGTGGTGCAGACACAATTGCAGGGCAGGAGGCCTGGGCTGAAGGCCGGCCTCTACCCCCCAGCACCCCATCCAGGCTTCAGTTCTCTGCTTGCAAAATTCAGGGGTTGGAAGAGGTGATGGGTTGGGTCGCCCCTGGCTTTAGATTTAGGAGGTGACGGGGCAGGGGGCGGGTTCCATTCAATCATCTGCTTAGAAACCTTAGGTAACTGAGACAGGAGGAAGCAACCATTTAGCAAAGGTAAATCCTGTAATTTGGGTTCAAGAATGAAGAACACTCCCAAAATCACCTCCCAAGCTAAGAACAGCTAATTGGGCAAAGAGCTGGAGTCTGTCCTCCTCATCCTGGCGCCACCTCCCCCCCCCCCACACACATAACCCTCCTCCAGCCTCTTGGATAGAAAGTGACTTCGCCCTCCACTTCTTTCCTAGGTACTAGTGTAAACTTGGCTCTCGGAGCCTTCTCCACACTCGGAAAGAAATGCATTCAACAAATGTGCACCTACTGTGTACCAGGCACTCCTCTAGGTGCTGAAAAGAGCAGTGGATATAGTCCTTGCCCTTGTGGGGCTCATGTGCTAGGGGGGTAGACAGAGGTACGCAAAATAAGAAGTAAAATACACAGTGAACCCTAGGTATGGTGGCACATGCCGTAAACCCAGTGGCTCAGGAAGCTGAGGATTGCAAGCTCAAAGCCAGCCTCAGCAACTTAGTGAGGCCCTAAGCAAGATCTCAAAATAAAAAGGGCTGGGAATGTTGCTCAGTGGTTAAGCACCGGGGGGTTCAATCTCTGGTACACACACACACACACAAACAAAAGAAAACAAAAAAATCACCATGGTGCTGGTGGAGAGCAGGATCTAACTAGAAAGAGGTTTAACACTGGCTTCTTTGGACAGCTCTGGCTTGATTGAGGATGGAGTGGGGAGACAGGGAAAGCCGAGTACTGGGGAAGAGGAGGTCAAAGAAGCAGGTGGCCAGGGCCACACCCGCTGGGGAGGTAAGTGGATAGAGAACCACTGAGGACCCAGGCAGGACCAACCACCATGAGGTGGCAGCTGAAAGTCACAGGGACACCAAGAGCAGCACCCCAGGGGCTGGGATATAGTTCAGTTGGTAGAGTGCGCATGCGCAAGGCCTTGGTTTCAATCCCCAGCACACACACACACACACACACCCCCCCCAAAAAACAAGGCGGAGCCCTGCAGGCATGGAGCTGCGCAGCCGTTTTCCATCTGGGGAAACCCTTTTCATTTTTATAATAACAGGCAGGAGAGAGCCGCCTGCGTCCTGAGACGCTGCCTAGGCACCAACACGCTGAGAAACGCCGGGAAGGACCCTGTGGGCACCGGGATCGAAGCCAGAGGCTCAGAGCGCAAATGGTGCCTGTCGCACGCACGGCACTGAGCTGCAGGTGACGGCTCGTTTTCTATGCGTGAGGACCTTCCGGTCGTCTCTGGAATAATGGCAACTCGACAGCCACCAGAGCAGAGATGATCTGTCAGCTGCCCTGCATCGAGGGCCGCGCGGGGACGCATTGAGGGGGGCTCCGCTCCTCCTGCGCCCTCACCCGCGCCCCACCCCGGCGGGGGGGCGTCTGCGCCTGCCCCTGCCGGTGGGAGGAACGGAGGAGCTGCGCGGACCCCAAACGTTGCCACCCGTTCCATCTCTCTGATCTTTGTTGGCAAACAAACAAGCCGATTTCAAAGCCTGTGACTGGGGAATGACAAACAAGGCTGAGGAGCCTTCCTGCCTGGGCTAGTTGCTGCCCAGCTGCCACTGGGAGGCGGTGTGGCCCCAGGGCAGGGGCTGTGCCGCTCTGGAGGCCCTGGGATTCCTCCTCGGCCTCAAGGTGGAGGGCAGGTCAGGTTGTTCCGGAGCCTCAGCTTGCCCACCTGTAAAGTGGGCATGGTCATTCTTGCCAGGCTCACACAAGGCTGTTTGAGGACCAATTAAGGAAATGGTGACACATGAGGAAGATGGGTGCTGCTCACCATGCTGAGTGACCTCCTACTGTGCTGGGCACATGGCTGGGGAGTGCCACCTGTCCCCTCCCTGCAGAGTCCAGAAGCCGGGACCTGAGCCCAGAGAGCCTCAGTGTGCAGGAGAAAGGACAATCAGAGGAACACGTAGGGGAGTCCGTTTGTAGAAGGAAAAATCATTTTTTTGGTGAAGTCTATGGACAGATTTGGGGAGAAGGTAATGAATGGCACCAAGTGTGCCCAGCAGTTCCCCTTCCAGAGCATCACATGACAGACACACCTGCTCATGCAAATGACCTGAGCACAAGGCTGTTCACTCAGAAGGGTGTGTAATTGTGCAGGTCAGAAGTCCCCAAATATCTGCTAGTTAGAGGGGGCTTGAATAAACAGGCTACATGAAGAATAAGGAAAAGATCTTTGTGAGCCAATGTGAAAAGATTACCAAGAGATACTAAGTGAGGTAAAAAACTGACCAAAACAGTACAAAAAAAGCAAGGAAGACTATCTATAGAATATACCTATTTATATGAGCAGAGAATGTTCTAAAACTAATTATCACAGACTAGCACCCTTAGTTGTCTCCAAGGAAGGAAAACTGGGAAATAGGGGTAGGAATATCATTGCATATCCTTTGTGTCCTTTGATTTTGGAGCCATTTAAATGCAATATCTATGAAAGAGAGAGAGAATAAAGAAAAAGGAGGAAGAGGAAGAGAGTGGGACTCCAGAATCGGACGTAAGAATTCCAGCTGTTCACCCAGAAGAGTGTGTAATTGTGCAGGTCCGCCACTTCCCAGCTATGTGACCTTGCCTGAGTTACTCAACCTCTCTGAGACTCAGCCTGGGCCTGAAAGAGGCATGATAATATCATAATGCCTCCAATCTACCTGGTCTGTTGGGAGTTAGAGACTAACGAGTTTCAAGCACTAAGTTGAACGTGATTGTTGTAGAAGTCATGGCTTCCCACTCTCCAGATCAGCTTCCAGACTCCCTGGAGGACATGCTGCTTAGTCACAGGCAATGTCACTGGCACCCAGCCCTTGGGAATCCCATGCTGCAGGTTACCAGGTCACAGCTGAGTTGGAAAAGGGCATTGGTCTGAGTCACGTGCCACCCCCCAACATGCTCTCTCCCAGTGCAAACACCCCAGACTAGCTACTGAGCTCTCTGGTAGGGGGTCCAGTTCTGCTGAACCCCACAGCCCTTTGTCCTGGGCTGCACCTCCCCAGGCAGATGAAAACAGCAGTTG